AAAGCATTATAATGGATTTCTTTATCAGCACTGAACCGAATGTTTTTTTTCGAAAGCCCTGCCCAAAGCAGACTCACCTGGCCTCACACCTATTTCCACCATTGTACTTCTACTTTCAAGCATTGAATTTTCTGAAATGGTCTCAATCACTCCTGAACATTTTTTAAAACACGAATCAGGCGTGAAACTATCAAAAATAGGTTTTTTTTTGGAAATGTCGTTTCACGCTTAAAAATGTCGTTTCACGCTTAAAAATGTCCGTTCACGCTAGTTTCACGCTTTTTCACGCTAATTTCACACCTGGTTCATTTTTTGAATTTTGATTCAACTCCCTTTAATTGCCTGTAATGATATACGGGGGGTTACTCAAAATTTTGCAAATGGACCAGGTGTGCAATTATACCCCGATACCGAAATTTAAGTTCTATATTTGTGGATTGCCCCCATTCATCCCCATTCCCTCTTCCGGTCACTGTCCAGGGGCAATTTGGACCCCGGGTGGCAACTCAAGGCTCAGTCGCTAATGCTGTGCGGCTGTGGCACTGCTGATTTAATTTGTATCATACCATGATCCGGGACCTGAACCACTAAGAACCAAATTCCGAAGTAAGTCGGTATAAGGCTTGTAAATCATAGATGATGGGGAAAGGAAAAGTAGAAATAATATAAATATATTATATGTAATCGATCTAGCTATCATGTCATATATGCTTATTTACTAAGTCCTAGTTCTGGTCCGGGTGTAAAAGCTTAGATTGAATTATGATCGATCTGGTGACCGACTTGGTGACAGATCTCAGCCACCCTTGCACACATTTCAAATTAAACCATCACAGGTCTAAACCTAAACCACCCTCAAATTGAGGTTTGAAGCGGTTGGCTTTAGCCTCCGCCTCCAAGAACGTTTTGATTGGGTCCAAGCTTGCATGGCGCCAGTTGTAGGGTGCCTAGCGGGGTGTGGCTGGCACACATGTCTAGATCCCGGATCCCCCTATCACCACAAATAATCATCACCAAAATGCCCTATAAGAATATCGTTACATTGCCACAACCAAGATTTTCATATACTCACCCCTGGGACATCCAGTGACTTTAAGTCGGTTCCCCTTGATGCAATTATGTCCAGAAAAGAGCTAGTATATATATATATATATACTGAATTGGGATTAGAATCTATCACCCATTCACACCACCATTGAGCGGTGCCTTCATGACACGAAATGGCCAGACTGGCATACGGTCTTCATCGTGCAGAGCCTGCGCAAGGACCAAGTTGTCCTTGTCGCGTACCTGGGATCCGGGAGTGTCAGTCATGAATGAATGTGCCTTTTGAAGACAAACGGTTTTCAAGTTTACAGTTTGGACGGTTGCCAGAATATCGATATAATACAACCTGTATAACACACAATCATGATATTTCACAACATGTAGCAATTAATAGCATATAATGTATAAAAATAAACTGTTGCTATAGACCGATCTTTAGTGAGGGCTGAGGCAAGCACACATTGTTTGTGCAGTCGTGCAACAGCTTGTCCATACCGTGCTGGATATATCTGGGATTGTTTCAATCCCTTTGCCCCTGACCTAGGCCCAAGGAGAAAAGAAATTTGAATTCATTTTTATGTGTGCCCACAACAGTATATCTGAGATATGGACACTTGAGTACGTCCACTGCTTTTTGAAATGGTCTTGCGAACCATGGGTTTGGAGCTCTTCTTGGCCTTCCTGGCCAATTTTTTCCGCAAACTTTTGGAGGTCTTGCGCACCAACTTTGCCAAGTATGGCCTCGTAGCTGGTAGCACTGAAACTCTAACGTCTAGAGGGTGTATATATATTATATAAAACGCTCCATCAACTAAATGACCTAGCAAATCTTTTGGGCAACAATCTCCAAATGATTTCATGGGGAGAAATTGAGAACCCCCCCGTTGAGGCCATGACCATGATCCAAAAAGCTGTGTTGGCTTCAATGTTCTCGAACCGTAGCTTCCCATGTTACTGAGCAAACACCGAAGGCTGATTTTATCCGGAATGTGTCCATGTGACTAGACTTTGAAGTCCATAATCAAGCTTGTAGATTCTATCGAGGTTTTCAAGTGAAAACTCAACTATGCCTGAGCACTGGACAATGTGATCCGCGACCACAGGGATTCGTCGAGCCACACCAAGATTCTCTTCAAAAAGGTAAAGTAAGGGAAAAAAAGCATACAAGAGCTCAGCGGCTGCTCTATTATGAAAAAGCAGGATCGGCATGTTGCCAACAACAGCACCAATGCTAGTCGGCAGCAAATCCTTGGCTAGCTTAGATTCAGCAATCTGGAAACAAATCAGAAACACAACCAGAAGATGTTGCTGCTTGACCTCTTTCTGCAATTGGGGGGATTGTCAAGTCAAATCTGTTTTCCTCGAAGCGAACAGGCTGAACAAGAATTATCTATCTAGATTGGCAACTTTTACTTGGTAGTTCGTGTGTATTAGGCAAGGTTCACGTTTGCTTGCCTTACGTAGGCCCGAAGGCTGGCAAAGCCGAATGGCCGCCAGAAGCGGCGGCCACTGGTATGGGCATTGATCCACACAAAGCTCCCGCAAGGAGGGCCACCATGAACCAGCGACCCAGGTTTCAAGCGAAGGGTCAGGTAGATAACGCGGAACCATCCTTCCCTCAGCAAGAGCTGGAAACAAGTTCTGTTTCGAGCAGTTTCAATGCAAGAAGAACATGAAACTTATGTAGCTCGCAAAAAAAACGATCCTTTTTTATTATTGCTATTGAGTAAGCTAGGCTAGTGCAAAAACCTATGCAGCTACGAAGTTTGTAGGGTTCTGACACTGAGCAAATGTCTCCATCTTTTCCCTGATAAGCAACATCGTAGGGAGTCCTTTGCGCACTCGGGCACAAACCAAAACACCCCCGAAGACTCAAATACGGTTTTTCATTCTTGACCAATCCATAGATTCCTTCACCAGTGCACCAACATGATGCAGGACACAGAAGATGGCCAAGAGCAGAATGGGCTGAGGAGGAGACGATTTCATTTTCTCACCGCCTGGGCGGTGATTAAAGGTGAAAGTATACAATTGAATAGTTGGATAACCCCCCATGATTATATAATATATCATAATGGTAGAGAGGCTTTTGAGGTCCAGGCTGAATCCTCGAGTCACACTTTGTTCTCCAGCAAAGAGATCCAGGCCGTCCAAGTCCTGCAGGTTTGCTGTGGCAAATGGGCATATAATATATATTTATCGAACACAAATTTCACAAGTTGCTTTTATTCAATTCGAATGTTCGACTTTTTATGTGCTATATTTATATAATCAACTCCCATCCGTCCCCACCACCGGTCCCTTTGATGTGTCTGCTGACACACCTGGCATACGTAGTCACAACTATGCAACCTCAGGAAAGGCCCAGATTCGTCGTGTAGGTATTTTTGCCATATCACTGGAACTCAGTAAGTTTTATATATTTTCATAAAAATGCCAAGTAACAAAAGTAATGGTGCTCCCATGAATAACAACCATCGGGCCGCCCCTTGTGACAGGGCCAGAGGCGATTTGCCACGGTCCTTCATTTTAACTATAACTGTTGTCCACCAAGCTTGGTGCAAAGAGAAAATGGCTGCTGCTTATGAATGCACATTGGGCAATTGAAAATTTCCAGTGCGCATGTAGAGCTGATGGATTCTTGATTCACGACGCCACTAATGAGCATTTTTTTTTATTCACCCCTACACGATTGGTCCCTTCGTGGCCGCTTCCCTCCAGCATTACCCACCTGTGGATCAAGCCACTGATGGCGGCATGGAGATACTAGAGTCAAAATGAGTCAAAGATTGACGCAGAGTTTCAAATCACCATAATGAATTTTGGTCAATCAAGATAAAAAATATAACTAATTAATTTCTGGTGGCAAGCTAGCTCGGGTACTGACAACCCAACTCTGCTGCCCTGCATTCCGCAGGAGTGGCAAAAACGGCAAAATGCCTGGTTCCTAAGCTGAAGGTGGGCCATGGGCTAGGCTATCTGGAGTTTCCCAGCCGGCCAGCAGCTTCGAGTATTCCCACCTTGGCCCGCATTGCGAACATGTTGTTACGAAACAGCTACTTTTGGTTTGCATGTACATGTACATGACATGCATACAATTATATCTTGCAAATTTGCAGTATGAGGATCCCACGATTGTGAAACACCTCCATATTTCTTCCATCCCACTGAGACACCACTCTGGGCGTTCACCTTGGGCACAGATATGAATGGTGAGAAAAAGGCTATTAGTTGATAAAACAGATCGGACCTCTATCTGACTTTGTTTTGTTTCACCCAGATCTAAGCTACCCCACTTTGAACTGTACATCCATGGCTTTGTTCACAGACTCCACCACTGTCTTGACGGCATGGGTGATGTAGAAGCTTCGACAGGAAAGCCTGGATGTTGAGGGTATAGAAAATATGGCCATATATCACCATGCCACGAATCAATATATCAAACTACACATGGATTGTTGAGGCCAAGGCAAAGGGGAGATAGTCGCCAGCTTGACCCCAGGGACTGCATGTGGAAGATCATCTGGGGGCTTGATCGTGTATGACCTGAACATGAAAGAATCTCAATTTTGATGTTGAAATAAGTTGGGAGAGAGGCCTTAATAATTCGTTTATATGCCCCCAGTACTTTGTAAAAGTATATAATTTATTGCTATGCATTTACATCTTATGAGGGATATAATATATAATGTACAATGTTGATGTGCCTGTAATATGGAGTTAATGGATCACAATCTCCCTACACGACCGAGGCCAGCACTTGGTCCCTGCAGGAACTGTCGTCAGGCGCCGCCCCAACTTGTCCTTGTTGATCACATCCATAAACTCATGGTAAGCACTGTCCTAGGAAAACAAATGTTGGATAAATGAAATGGGCTGATTACGATAAATTGAAACGCATATATGTTTTCGATATCATGTACAAAACAAAAAACATCCCTTCGGCTTTGATATCATATATGTGTACATGTACATGTAACTTTGTCATAACACAATTTCTTTATGTGCAGTTGGGTTTCCAAAGCCTTTTCCTTTGCATTTTCATTTTTCTTGCGCTTGGAGTTGGGGGTCTTCTTCAGTGCCGGGCTCGCAGGTTTTTCCCCTCCACCCCCACTTTCATCTGCAACAGCTGCAAAGTCTGTTTCCAACTGTCTGGCAAGCTTTGTACGCGCGCTTCGCTTCGGCTTGGGGTTGGCATCGGTTGTTGATAGTCTAGCTTGTCTTTCAACTTTCTTGATCTCACTTTTCTCCTCCCTTTCTCTTTCACGGTTTGTCTTGGCTCGCTTCAGGAATGGGCTCTCTGGAATCTTGGGAGACATAGCAGCTTTGCCCTTGCGTTTTTTCTTTGCATTTGGGGTTGCATTCTTTGAGGCACGGGCTTCACTTTCATCATTCTTTTCATTCTTTTGGGCATTTCTTCGGGTGTTTCCTTCACATGGCTCATGAGCATCCTCCCCATCCGAATCCTCTTTCTTGTCCTTGCCCTTGTGGTTTCCAACCTTCTCCTTTGGCTCCGCCTTCGCCTTTCCCCGTCCTCTGCCTTTACCTCCTTTACCTTTACCTTTACCTCGACCTCTTCCCTTTGTCCGTCTCTTCCGGTCAGATTCCTGGGAAGCCTCTTCCTGCTCTCGAAGAAAGCGGTCAGGGTCCTCTGCTTCATCCGCTTCATCCCGGGCGGCTTGTCGCATCTTGGCTTGGGCCTCCCAGAGCTGTCACAGGATAGGAAACCAAATTATTGGATGATTAATTAAGTATGAAAGAGTGTATACACAAAACATCATTCACCAAACGTGTATCTGACCTGCAGGATATCCTCCATGTTGGTCTGTTCTTCCTCACGCACACAAGTCTTCACAGCTGTGTCCACTTGGGCAGGGTCTTCTTTTGGCGGCCCTGTCAATGGCTTTCGGTCCTTCATGGGTGGCCAAAAATATAACGATAAGCTTGGGAGATCTCGGTGAATTTGGCGAGGAGTTTGCAAAGACCCATGGGTCTTGTTGGAATTTGTGATTGTTCATAGATCGATTTGGTGTAAGCAAAAATATGTTTACTACTAGTACAATATCATGCCATTGGAATTTCACTCGCCAAAAGAAAAGTCTATATTTCAAATTTTACTTGTATTTTTCACATATTTTCACATGTTTGTTTTATATATCGAACAACCCATATTTATATCAGATAACCATTTATGTACCCCAGTCCTGGAACGTACCCCTTTTCTCATCATCATCGCTTTCTAGGTCCATAACTTCAGGCACTTTCTCTTCATCCCGTTGTTTCTTCTGAACTTTCGTCTTAGCACGTTTTCCTTCTCCTGTCTGATCCTCGGTTGCCTTTCTTTCCCTCTTCTTCTCTGTCTCATCTGCAGCGTCTTTCCTATTTGGCGTCCCCCCTACACAAGCACCATTTGGATCCAAACGCCACCAGCTCTCAACCATTTCAGGATCCAACGGCAAAGTCTCCTTGTTGTCGGGGTGCTCCAAATCCTTTACATGTTGAAGCTTGAGGTCATCTAACGTCTTCACAAGCTCCTCTGCTGAGGGCACGGGATCCTCATTGTCCTCAACCTCCTCTTTGGCCTCCTTCTCTTTCTCATTGAAACCTTCCTCAGCCTCCTCTTCCTGACCTGGATCATCTTCGGAACTCACCTCAACATTCATCCAATTCCTATTCATATCCTGGCCTGAGCCCTCATGACCCTCAGGGTAGTCATCGTTCTCCTCAACCTGGCTTGGTTCATCACCCGAATCATTATTTTCCTCAGCCCCATCCCCACCTACAGCCTGACCTGTCTCATCACCTTCTTGATCAACCTCTACCTCCTCTCCTTCTTCTTCTTCTTCCTGTTCTTCCTCATCCTCGGGTTCAGTGGGTGTTATTTCTTCGGATTCTTCTCCAGTACCTTCAGTTGCCTTTGCGCCTTCACCTCGTAAGGGCCAGAAATTTTCCAGCAATAGAGGTATAAATAGTGTGCACACATATACATGCATTATCATGCATGCATGATAATAGTATGTGCCGTGCAAAGTTGGTCATGGTTCGATATCTTGGGAAGATTTTGCATCAGCTGAACATTGGACACCTTAAATTCAAATGCAAAAAACAGAGCTCTAGAGGGTATGGAGCATATCTAAAATATATTTGGCAAACGCGCTGCATGACAGAACCAGCTCAGCATAGCCTTTCCCATCCAAAGACTTGTGCGAGGCTGATCTGCCCCGGCTTGCAATCTTCTTGCCTCCTTTGGTGAGGAGACCCGCTTCCTGGCAGGGGCATGGACCAAACATATCGGGCCTTAAGAAGGCGGAAAACACAATCTAAAAGCGCCTGCAGTTTTGTTCGGACTATCTCCTTGAGTTCCGACATGCAAGTTCGGCCTTTCCTGGCCAAGATCAATAAAAACAAAAGAATTGAGATGTGATCACTGCTTGGCACATGGTACAATTGTAATAATATCAGGGCCTTGCATTTGGGTTGCACTGGAACCGCCGCATCACGTATGAGAAAAACGCTCGTTGGACATCGGACTCATTTTCCGCCCACGCCTCGGGCGAATATGCAATGCACATATATATAATATTGTTATAGATTTATGATATAATATTCTATATGAAATGGGAGATTTCCTACAATATATAGTTATTCACAATTATGCCAGTATTGGGTATTGAAACATATGTTGATTTGGGATTCCATGATTTTTTAAAAATCCTCCATATGCTTTTGTTGATTGACCAACGTAACCAAATCCATTGAGCTCTCAGGACTCTGCCAAATGCTCTGCGTGACTTCGCAGCTGAGGGTTGAGGCCCAGGGTCTTAGATGCCCAGGTCAGCGCGTCCTATGGCGAACAGCAGGTGAATCCAATGCATATATATCTTAGTTGCCTAAAACACCAAGGAGATGTCGATATATGAAACCGTATTTTCAAAATTAGTAAAATATGTCCTTCATCTCTGTGTCAACTGGAATTTGGTCACCAAACAGGGCGAAGAATTGCAGCAAATAGTTTCCATTCTCCTGTTCTTCAACCTGCGCCATGTGTGGCTGGATTGGCCAGGGCCATGCTAGTTCCCACAGTTATGGCCATTTACCAATTATAATTGGTTATAAATGTGATTATACATTCTATAGATGGGGTTATAAGTACTTACAACTGATAAATGGCCATAATTGCAGAGGCTTGCTCAGAAACAAATTGCTGGGAAACATGGTTTTGATCTGACGCCTCATGCTCTCTAATCTTGTCACCAGGGTCATAGCGGATGAGGAACTGGAATGATGGCACCTCAGGTGGGCATCGATATATTTAAGCTAAAGAACCCTGATAAATGTAGCAAATTTTTATCGTAACTTGTAGATGCTGAACACTGGGTGCAGGGAAGGAGCCCTTTTGCTGGTAGATTTTTGAGCCGACCTTGTTTTCAAAGTTCTTCTCCGGGTAGTGACAAAGTCATGTCCATCTTCATTTTTTTCACTGCATACATCCCGGAAGAACACCTGACGACGTTCCATCTATAACGACAATATTGGACATGTCTGAAAATAGTGGATTTCGAAATTACTTTATCATTATTTGAAAACACAATGGGGTTCCCTATTTTGAGACACTCGCATATGTTGAAAACGAATGCAGGCTATCTCACCAGAATGGCCTAGGGGCTCAAAGGTCACGTGATCACTAGATCTCTGATTTACTGGCCAATCCCTCCATCAAGGCTTAGATCAAACTGCAATTCAACCTTGGCAGCCGAATGGCCTTCAACAAAGCCACTTGCTCAGTCAATGAGCGAGGCATCGTGGGAAAAACTCAGAGTCCCACAGCTGCGGTCGGTGGTGAAATTTATGTGGCAGCATGACCGCATGAAGTTGGTTGAGAAAATAAATCAAAAGAATCCTGAAAATTTGATCAAGATAATTCCCACATTAAGGAGTATTAGCCATGATAGTTACTATTGGGATAATCTGTGTTAATTAGCTAGATTTGCCGTCAAAAGGAGGGGGCGCACTGGTGTCCATGAAGTCCACATCCTGATTCTCCAGCAGCAATCCTGGGATCGGTTTTGAATTTGGAAGGGAAATCTAGAGGGCATAAAAAGAATCAGGAAAAATCATATACACTATTTCCACTAATCGCTAAGATTTGGACTCTTGCGAAGCCCCCGCTGCATTACCTTGGTTTTTGATGCCTCATTCCAATTGATGCCACGTATGAAATACAAGGCCATACAATATACCCTCAAAAACTCAGGCATCAATTGAGATGAGCCAAGTTGCTCAATGATTCATCGTCACCATAGGCCACTCATGGCACACACAGAAGGGCGAAGCTAACATGGTCGATTTGTTTTAATTAGATTTTCCAATACATCACTTATCCTTCGAATGACCTGATCTTTGAGCTAATAAATTAATGAAACGCATTTGGCTCACAAACATGGTGCTTATCAAATATATTTGGTGTCCAATCTATCTTGGAATCTATCGATATATCGATATTTTTATGGAATACTATATTATTATACCCTCTACCCCTTTTGGGGTGAAAGGCACCTTGTCCCATTGGACCCTGAGCCGAACCATTTCAAAATCGGCCTCAAGCAAGGCAGGGGGTGGGGTAAACATGGATAAATATGATGAATTAGGTTCTTTAACCCATAAAAAATGTCGGTTTGCACAACCAACATTTCCCTAATGTCGGTTCGGCCTTAAAAATGTATGTTGGTAAACCTACATATATAAAATGTTCGAAGACCGATAGGGTATATATATGATTATATATGCATAATTGTATTTTTATCAGGTTGGAATATCATGGGGATATACATGGTCAATCAGGTTTCTACCTGTTTAACGCTGGTAAACCTCTGCACCTATACCTAGACCTTTTGCGACCCAGAGAAAATCTGCCATGGACGGTCATCGAACGTGGCTAGCGGCTAGCTGGCAAATCCCCTATCAATAGAGGTTCGTAGCAGGGAAATGTTGGGAATATCATCGAACTAAATGCTGGATTTTCCTGCAAGCCATCAAGCCAGAAGGCTTCCAGGAAAAGATCAGGTGCTTTGTGGGTAGGAGATGGGTCAAAATTGAGAGAGACACTGGGCATAAGCGAAATCTCTAGATCAAAGGTCGAGTCTTCAGGCAGTCCGACCTAGATGTCTAGATGTTATCTTAGCTCGCAATATGTCACAATTATATATATATATATTTGCATAAAATGGCCTGAAAATAGGGTACGTATAGAACCCAAAAATCCAGTGGTGTGTCAACATGTTCCCATATGTTCCATATTAAAACTCTTTTCCATTTTTAGCCACACCCACATGATCCCACATGTATGTGATTAGCCCAAGACCTTGATCCACATGGTCCTGCCGCAGGACTCTCTGTTCATGTGGCGTGCTCCGTTTAGGGTCAGTATACCAATGTATACCATAGTAGACCCCTAGTCATCCCGCAACCATGTTCTTAATGAAGTTGTCATCCCTGGGAATTGTGGGTACTCCTTGTCCAAAGTACAGCTGGATTATGCTGGAGTTTTCTTGGGACCAGCCTGGTTTGTCCATGCAATCAAACACCAAATCCACTGGAGAATCAACCAATAAGTGGTATATGCCGCGTTTAATTTATATATGCGTTGATTTATATACATTCCCTGCAGGTCCGAAGGCCAAGTTTTACAGGGACATTTGGTTTACCTCGGTTTCATAGAGCAAAGGGCCCTTATTCCCCTCACGTTCATCGTCGCGCTTTTTCCACATTGGAACTCTTTCGCAGGCATTGCACCCACAGTTTTATGGTATCAGAGCCACAAATGACTACCGAAAACTATATCGGTTCAATGCTGAATTTGACTTGAACCCCATTTGAAATTGTTGATGCATGATTGGAAAGCACAAATTGTTCAATCACCTCCAGATCACAGCCCCGAATGGGCCTTTCCAATTTGCAATGAAAAGCCACTAAAGACTGACATTCCGGAGCATATGCAAAGCAAATTCGTGGCGCAAGAAATGGTATGATTTTGCATAAATTTCCGAACTGAAAAGAATGGTTCCTATCACGCTCGGTTCACGCTCGGTTCACGGTAATAGTTGGCCTTATGGCCTTATGCCAGTAATGTTGGCTACTGATTAGTGTGGGCCCCCCCTCAACACATTTAGGCTACTCAATAACTCGCCATTTTCTGCCCCCCCCCTGACAAGTTTTAGGATAGTCAACGTAAGTAAGGATTTCAATTGACAACAATCTACTTTCAATTGATTTTCCTTTCAAACCTCAAAGAAATCTATTGATAAGAAAGGATTTCAATTGAAACCAATTTACTTTCAATTCATTTAAATCTACGTTCAATTGATTTTCCTTTTAAATCCATAAAAATCGCTCCAAAAGTTTTTGTGCATAATAGGGTACCATCGAAACAATCACGTTCTTAAGGATCTGGGTCACTCATGGGGTACCCCCTTGAAAAATTGTTTGGGTGCTGGTTTTTAAAAAGGGTTTAATAAGGCATCTAATGATTTGGGAGACCTTGCATTTTCAAGGCTTTAATATGGATATGGCTTTCTAAAGTAAATGGACCAGCTTTACCCAAAGAAAAGTGTATAAAGGTGGATAAAACTCCTCCTGAAAAAAAAAGATCAGAGAAAAAACTTTCCACAATAGAGGCCCACCCCCCCATCCACAAGATACTCACTAATTTTTGGAAAAAAAAAAAAAACAATAGAGGTCCATCACACTAATCGGTATACTACATTCATAGAAGGTCTTTAGAGGGTCCGTTCACGCTCGACTTCAGGCTCGGTTCACGCTAGCAATTTTGGGCGCCTGACAGTTCATATTTACCATGCATTCGTGGTGGTTCCAGCCCTAGATTCCCAGTGATAAAATAGTGGAGGGGTACCCAATAATCAACCACAAATTGGATATTTATGGTAGGTGAAGGGAAGCGATTATCCTGAAATTAAAATCGTTTCCTGCAGGATTATTGGGGAAATTTGCCCGCATGTAAAGCTGTCAAATATGATATATCATTGATCACCAGAAATGACTTCAGGATACAACTCAAAGCCATCAAAATCCTGACAGAAACCAACCTTAAAAAACTGATCGAAGCTGATGGTTGAAAACATCAGCTTACCACCCCAAAGGTCCTGATCTAATAGTATGTCCCCATCAAGTAATAGTAGGTCCTGATCAAAAAAAGTTAAAGGCCAAGTTCAAAACGAGGTCATTGACCTCGAGGGATTGATTTACTGGAAATTATTTTAGCATATGTGGCAATTAGTATAATATATATGGCTAAAAAAACATTATTAATGTGACATAAGAAACTCATTAGATAGCCATATCCTACGCGCTCCTACGCGCAAAATGACATCTACAAACAGATCAAACACCAATCATTGGTGGGTGTCTCGTGGGACCCGCAGCCCTGTGGGGCACATCGAATTAAGCGCAAAAGAGTCACAAAACTTCATTAAATACCTCTTGGTTGGTAGTTTCAGATAGCTTCAAGCCGGCCCATGCCATCAACAAAATCGATATCTGCAGTTATCTGCATCTGCAATCACATCATAATCGTCCAGAATCATTCAGTCACTTGAATTGATAATCCCAAATATATCCAAATATGTCGGGATAAACTTTGAGAATTTGAAACTTCCAACCGGGGCATTTCAAGAAACCCATCGCAGATTTTTCTGAACGGATTCGGTTCAAGACGCCTGGAGAGAAGCAGCCTAGAGATAAGAATACATAAGACACAAAGGCCATTAATATATGATTAGTATATATATATAATATATATATATATATACATATATATATATATATATAATATATATATATACATATATATGTATATAATATATATAATATATATATATATAATACATAATATATACTGAGTGGCTGGTGATTTCATTTACAGCCCATCCGGAACTCGTTGAACCTGGGATCAGCAAAAAACGATTAAAACATAGCATTGATCAAACAAAATCATGGCTTTCAATACGAAAATTGTCTACGTTTGGATGATTTGAGGGTCCCCCCATTTGAGGAAACTTCCATGTGTATAGCAAATATATGCAAATACATGCAAATACATGAAAAATAACTGGACAGATTGATAAAGCCGCAAAAGCTCAAGGGTCGGAAGCCACCCATTGGCAAGTTCCAAGTGGAATGTTATCATCGATGGCTCAGCTTGAACTGGGGGTTCTCTAGATTTCAGGAGCTGCAAATAAATATTATAATAGCTGAATCTGGAACCAAATGAACGAAAAGCCTCAGCTCATGCCTCAGGCTGATTCTTGCCGGGGCTACAACAAAATGAGAATACCCTCTGGTCATCCATTGCCATGGACAACCGCGTTTTAATATCTATTATATCAACGGGCCATGGCTTCGCAACCATTGGTAACTGGAGGGAAAATCATCGTCCTGGTCAAGTCGTTGTTTTCCACTTCTGGCGCTTACCCCCGCATCTTGAAAGCTCATCTTGCGCTCCTCGCAAAATGGACTATTCTATCCCAGGTGTGTTCAACAAGGCCATACTCAACGGCGAAAAAGGCCCTGGCTTTGCTAAAATGCACCATTTTCTAAGGCCAGTTTGGAGGTCTACCCCATGAAATTGGACACACCCAAGTTCTATCTTTTCTTCTGGAAAACGTGCCAAACACTTGATGATCGCAACTAACACGGGCATCCGTTGCGATGAAAGGGCATCCTCGATGGAACAGCGACAGAAGAAACCATTAAGGTTTTTCATTGGGAGGCTTCTGGCTGAGAAAACTGTGGTTTCCATGGGAAAATCATTAAAACATGGAGGATGTGCTTTTCAGACTTTGAAGCGAAATTGCGAAAAGGTGGGTGAACTGAACATGACAAAATCAAACTACAAAAAAAAAGTCGTTGATTCATTCCAAATATGGATTCCCCAAAGAATATCCCCCCAAGATCACTGCGGCAGTCACTTTGCCAGGGAGGTGCCGAATCGCAACGGGTGCACCATGGCGGAAGTTCACCATGACTTGACTCCTGGCCGATCCAGCGGTTGGTTCATGGACCAATGGACTTGCAAACGAAAAGCCATCAGGGATCATCAGGCATCCCAAAAACGACGGAAAACTCATGGGATACAGATTGTTACCCTCTGGTAAACTAACATAGCTATGGAAAATCACAATTTTTAATGGGAAAATCCACTATAACTGGCCATTTTCAATAGCTATGTTAAATTACCAGAGGGTATCCTTTCGCTGACTCTGATTTTGATCCTGGAAGTTTTGATCAAGATCAGTTCCAGAGTAGTAGGATTTTCCACATCCCAGGTGTGGGTCCTTCATGTGACCGATCACAGTCCAAGCAAACAATTGCGCGGTTTCGTATCCTCAGAAATTTTCTGGCGTGGAGCCAAAGGCCCGACCAAGAACTTGTCAGAGAACTGTGCTGTTTCTATGGAAAAGGAATGGTCAAACCATTGCCAATCTTAGATACCCTTCAAAAAAAAAACAATTCTTTGCTGGTGAGTAGATATTCCAGATACCAACAGACGAGTTAGGATAACTTTAAGTACCCATCCAGCAGATTGACCATCATCCCATTGCTACACGGTAGTGAACCCAATAAATAAACCCCACGAATCTGGTTGGTGGTTGAGCCACCTACCATTGGTTGGTAATATACTGTTAATATGAATGGTTATTATATATGGTTAATAATGGTTAATCATAATCTGGCTGGTGGTTGAGCCTACCCCTCCGAAAAATGATGGAGTTTGTCAGTTGAGATGCCATGACATTCCCATTATGATGGGAAAGTCATAATCCATTCCATGGTTCCAGTCAGCACCAACCAGATATATCTCATTAACCATGATTAACCCACTATTGAACCACCATTATCCACCATTATTCAAGCAAAAATCAATGAACACATCCCATGATCTGCCAATGTTTTGATTTCTTGTTTGGTTTACCTCACTAATCCCATCACCCGATGGAAAAAACATCCCAAATCAATGGTCATCCCAAACGGACGAAAAAGATGAAGGAAAACCCGCACCGTAGTAGGATGTGTATCCAAGTATGTATAGCGCATTATAGCCACAAATCTATCCAAATATATCCAAATATATATATATATACATATATACATATGTGTATATATAATATATAATATATGTATATATATATATATACATATGTATATATATATATATGTATATACATATGTATATATATATATATGGGAAATCCCCAGTTAGAGCTGGTTTATACATGTTGATACTCCATTTTCTTTTAAAGTGGCTCCCGCAAGAAAAAATCCCAGTCATCAACTCCGGACCTCGGAGTCCAAGTCTCCCACTGATACCTTGAGCCAGTGATGTCACATTTAAGCCATTCTCAAAAACGTGGTATCCAGAAACCCCAACACATTATAAATTATACAGTCATATATATATATATATATACATATACATATATACATATATACATATATATATATATATATGTATGTGTATATATCTATATGTAAATATGTATATGTAATTATATGTATATGTAATTATATGTATATGTAATTATATGTATATGTATGGGTAACTCCATATATACTTCAACTTTGTTTTTGCTTTTAACCATAGCACAAATGATGACATTTAGCAAATTGGATATATGAATTAAGAATGGCAAAGCGGTTGGTGGATTTCCTCCCATTCCAACAAAGATGCCAGTCGATTGAAATAATCATGCCAGCTAGATTAAAAAAGAAACGAACCACCACCCAAACAAGCTTGCGGGACGGGTCTTTTTTTGTATCTGACATGGTTGGCATGGTTGAAGATCGAATTTATTTATGGCAGATCCGTGTTGATCGGTCACTATCTTTTGTTACTGATCTTTCGTCTAGTGCTTGGAGTGAGATACATTGCCGTTCAATGTGCATTGCTCTGCATTCTCTACACTAAATGTCACTAAATCTTGAACCTGATCCAAGGCCATCAAAAAAATCACGTTTTCCCAAGTATGGGGCTTACGGGCTTAAAAAATCAATCCATTTCTGGACAATCCCACATCAAAGCAATCCCTTTGTTTAAAACCAAATATCTTACACTTTCTTACCCAACATTACTCAAATTTCATGAATAATCTTAAAACATAAACCATGTGAATTCATATAAATCCCCCATGTTTCATCCAATCTCCCCTAAGCCCTCACCCTTCCAAAAACCGCCACGCCGGGCGCCTGGTGCCACCCATGTGTTGCAAGGCGTAACGGCCAGAGGCCACGGGTTTTTCCACCCACTTCGTCGCCTCGCGCGGCGACGGCAGCGCACAGCTGCCGCTGGTGGTGAAACCGCTGTAGGGCCACTCTCCTGAGGCGTCCATGGGATCCGAATCGGGAATATAGGGGACTTACCATCTGGTTATGACTAACAGTTTGCCATGGAAAGATCCACCATTTTGAATAGGTAAACCATCTATTTCTATGGGCCATGTTCCATGGCTATGTTAAATAACCAGAGGGTATTTGGAGGATCATCCCATTTAACCCTGGTTACTGAACCCTGGTAAGTTCCCAAAGTGGTTTGTCCTATCGATAAATGGTCTGTAAGAATGGTCATATATGGTCATTAACCACTTAGTGAGTGGGGTGATCAAGCATGAACCAGGGGTATGTGAATCAGTTGCGATTCATGAAGATATCCTCCAGGTGCAACCCTACAATGATCTGTGAGATTTGGGTCTGTCCGAAAATATCGTACCCCAAAAAAATGATGGTTCAATGCATCATTTCCAATTAAAATGATTGTTGAAAACCTCACTTTCCCATTAAAACTACCATTGTATGGCTATCCCCATTTCCAGTCACACCCAAATATCAAGCATATATGTATATATATATATAAAATCCCATCAATACCCTGATTATATCCCATTGTGACCATCAAACTGTTGATTTTAGGTCCTGATTATCCCTAGTATTGGTGGTAAACAAATCCCATGAAATACGCCACGGTGTCGCTAGTCTTGTTTTCTCAAACACCATGAAACAATATGAACATTGTTGTTTAATGTTGTGTAGATGGTATACTTAACATGTTCAGAGTCATCCATTTTCATAATACCTCCAACTCTTGGGATACCTTGTATCAAACCATATGAGACCATACTGAACTACATTGAATCCTATTGGTGGTTCATATGAAACCATAGCACCATAGAAATCATGTAATAGGTGGGTCTGAAAACAATTGAGATCCTCATCAAATGCTTGAAGAAAATCAGACCCAAGATCTGTCTAATTTTCGGGCTAAAGCATCGACTAAACCATCTAAAACCATCTAAAACCACCATGAAACCACCATCAAAATTGCCATTTGAATTTCCGCCACATTTCTCCCCAAGCGTCTGCGAGACATTGGCGTGACATTCCCCCATTCTTCGTGCAGTTCTTTGGCCCCGATGCTGCTCTCGGCGAAGATGGGGTCCTGGCAATGCGCAGAGAAAGAAGCGGTGCTTAGAATATGCGGATCTTACCAATAAATGATGATGATGATATATGATGATGATGATGATGATGATGATGATAAAAATGATAATGGTACTACTACTACTACTACTACCACTACTACTACTACTACTGCTACTACTGCTACTACTGCTACTACTGCTACTACTGCTACTACTGCTACTACTGCTACTACTGCTACTACTGCTACTACTGCTACTGCTACTGCTACTACTACTACTACTACTACTACTAAGAATCATAATAGTAATAATGACGATCATACTGATAATGATAATAATAACAATAATATATATATATATATGTATATATATATATGTATATATATATATATGGAGCCGACGTACAAGAACGACTGACAAACCTGGGGATCTTCACCAACTCATGGGTTTTCATGTCCAACGACCTCCATTGCGTTTGCCAAAGCCACGGATAAAGCGCCTTGATTGATGACCAGTAAAAAATAATTACTTTACTTCGTGTGATCCCCACCATGACATTTATACATTTTCTTACTGGAAATCTTCTGGCATTCTATCTGACATATCTTCTGACATTCTATTTGGCATTCTATCTGGCATATCTTCTGGCATATGATCTGCCATATCTTCTGGCATATCTTCTGGCATTCTATCTGGCAAATCTTCTGGCATTCTATCTGGCATATCTTCTGGCACTCTATCTGACATATCTTCTGGCATTCAATCTGGCATTCTATCTGGCATTCTATCTGGCATATCTTCTGGCATATATTCTGACATATCTTCTGGCATTCTATCTGACATATCTTCTGGCATATATTCTGACATATCTTCTGGCATATCTTCTGGCATATCCTCTGGCATATCTTCTGACATATCTATCTGGCATATCTTCTGGCATATTTTCTGGCATTCTATCTGGCAAATCTTCTGGCATTCTATCTGGCATATCTTCTGGCATATTACCTGGCATTCTATCTGGCATATCTTCTGACATATCTTCTGGCATTCTATCTGGCATTCTATCTGGCATTCTATTTGGCATTCTATCTGGCATATCTTCTGGCATATCTTCTGACATTCTTTCTGACATTTTTTCTAACTTTCTTCTGCACATTCTTTGTTCCATATCTTCCTACATGAGGTCCGGCAGGGAACACTTGGCGTGGATACTCGCGGTTGAGGTCCGGCAGGGAACACTGGGCGTGGATGGTCGTGGTTGAGGTCCGGCAGGGAACACTGGGCGGGGATGGTCGTGGTTGAGGTCCGGCAGGGAACACTGGGCGTGGCTGGTCGTGGTTGAGGTCCGGCAGGGAACACTGGGCATGGATGGTCGTGGTTGAGGTCCGGAAAAGAACACTGTGGATCGCGGGTCGCAGTTGGACGAGGACGACAAGGACGACGAGGACGACGAGGACGACGAGGACGACAAGGACGACAAGGATGACAAGGAGGACGAGGAGGACGAGGAGGAGAGGAGGAGGAGGAGGAGGAGGACGAGGCAGGAGGCAGGAGGAGGCAGGAGGAGGCAACTGACATAAAATCTAACAACCCTCACCTGGCAGGTGGGGAAAAACAACACATCCATCCGTTTCCAAAATTACTTTACTTCGTGTGATCCCCACCATGACATTTATACATTTTCTTGCTGGCAAATCTTCTGGCATTCTATCTGACATATCTTCTGACATTCTATTTGGCATTCTATCTGGCATATCTTCTGACATTCTATTTGGCATTCTATCTGGCATATCTTCTGGCATATGATCTGGCATATCTTCTGGCATTCTATCTGGCAAATCTTCTGGCATTCTATCTGGCATATCTTCTGGCATATATTCTGACATATCTTCTGGCATTCTATCTGACATATCTTCTGGCATAAATTCTGACATATCTTCTGGCAAATCTTCTGGCATATCTTCTGGCATATCTATCTGGCATATCTTCTGGCATATTTTCTGGCATTCTATCTGGCAAATCTTCTGGCATTCTATCTGGCATTCTATCTGGCCTGGCATATCTTCTGGCATATCTTCTGGCATATCTATCTGGCATATCTTCTGGCATATTTTCTGGCATTCTATCTGGCAAATCTTCTGGCATTCTATCTGGCATATCTTCTGGCATATTATCTGGCATATCTTCTGGCATATATTCTGGTATATCTTCTGGCATTCTATCTGACATATCTTCTGGCATATATTCTGACATATCTTCTGGCATATCTTCTGGCATATCTTCTGGCACTCTATCTGACATATCTTCTGGCATTCAATCTGGCATTCTATCTGGCATATCTTCTGGCATTCTATCTGGCAAATCTTCTGGCATTCTTTCTGGCATATCTTCTGGCACAGATTGGAACAACTTCACTACGCACATGCATGACAAGCTGAGTCTGGGGAAGGGTTTGCAGCGAGATGAGAGATGGGGACCCCGGCGATTTGTCGCATGTGTAGTGTGTGCTGAAAGACGTTGGTCAGAGGAACTCATTCCGACTTTCATTGCTGGTGCGAAGACTGAGTTTCAGAAAGAAGATAAAGTTTGTTTGCTATTAGACCCAAAGCTGTATGTGTCAACTTGGCCAGAGGTGCCATCGGAAGAAGTCTTCAAGTCTTGTCCAACTGTTCTGTTGCAAACAGGTGATAAAGTCCAAATGCTTTTACACAAACGTCGTGTGACGAAACGCATGTGCACAGGCGAGGAACAAGCTCCTTTGTGCAAAGAATGTAGGCGGTGTTTGATCAAAAACCCACCTGAAATGCCTGTGCGAGCTTTGGCTAACGGAAAGTGGCTCGGGCGACACCCAGAGTTGATGCGCAGGATGCCATATGGGCACAGAATGTTGTTGCCTTTGCGCAGGGTAATTCTCACCAAGGTATTTTTTACGGCCAACAGCAAGAATCCTTGGGAACGGTCGCACTCTGCATTTGGACTCGATGGCGTTACCACCATCGTAGAACAAGCGCCCACCTTGCCACCAAGCGGCAATTTGCAGAAAAGCTGATGTAGAAGAGTGGATTGATGGTGAGACGCCCGAAGTGTTGCAAAAGACTTTTGTTGACGCGCCTGTGGAAGAGTTGGACGAAGAAGAGGTTGAAGAGTCGGCAGGCAGAGAGGATTCCAACAAATATCGTGGCCCTGTGGATTCTACACTGGGGGCGCAAGAGTTGCTGTAAAGCTCCATTTGGCATTCTATCTGGCATTCTATCTGGCATATCTTCTGGCATTCTATCTGGCATATCTTCTGGCATTCTATCTGACATATCTTCTGGCATTCAATCTGGCATTCAATCTGGCATTCTATCTGGCATATCTTCTGGCATATATTCTGATATATCTTCTGGCATTCTATCTGACATATCTTCTGGCATATATTCTGACATATCTTCTGGCATATCTTCTGGCATATATTCTGGCATATCTTCTGGCATATCTTCTGGCATATTTTCTGGCATTCTATCTGGCAAATCTTCTGGCATTCTATCTGGCATATCTTCTGGCATATATTCTGACATATCTTCTGGCATTCTATCTGACATATCTTCTGGCATATATTCTGACATATCTTCTGGCATGTCTTCTGGCATATCTTCTGGCATATCTTCCGACATATCTATCTGGCATATCTTCTGGCATATTTTCTGGCATTCTATCTGGCAAATCTTCTGGCATTCTATCTGGCATTCTATCTGGCATATCTTCTGGCATATCTTCTGGCATTCTATCTGGCAAATCTGATGCATTCTATCTGGCATATCTTCTGGCATTCTATCTGACATATCTTCTGGCATTCTATCTGGCATATCTTCTGGCATATCTTCTGGCATTCTATCTGGCAAATCTTCTGGCATTCTATCTGGCATATCTTCTGGCATTCTATCTGGCATATCTTCTGGCATTCTATCTGGCACATCTTCTGGCATTCTATTTGGCATTCTATCTGGCACATCTTCTGGCATTCTATTTGGCATTCTATCTGGCACATCTTCTGGCATTCTATTTGGCATTCTATCTGGCACATCTTCTGGCATTCTATTTGGCATTCTATCTGGCACATCTTCTGGCATTCTATCTGACATATCTTCTGACATTCTATTTGGCATTCTATCTGGCATTCTATCTGGCATATCTTCTGGCATATCTTCTGGCATTCTATCCGGCAAATCTTCTGGCATTCTATCTTTGTAACTTTCTTCTGCACATTCTTTGTCCCATATCTTCCTACATGAGGTCCGGCAGGGAACACTTGGCGTGGATACTCGCGGTTGAGGTCCGGCAGGGAACACTGGGCGTGGATGGTCGTGGTTGAGGTCCGGCAGGGAACACTGGGCGTGGATGGTCGTGGTTGAGGTCCGGCAGGGAACACTGGGCGTGGGTGGTCGTGGTTGAGGTCCGGCAGAGAACACTGTGGATCGCGGGTCGCAGTTGAGCAAGGACGACGAGGACGACGAGGACGACGAGGACGACAAGGACGACAAGGATGACAAGGAGGACAAGGAGGAGAGGAGGAGGAGGACGAGGCAGGAGGCAGGAGGAGGCAGGAGGAGGCAACTGACATAAAATCTAACAACCCTCACCTGGCAGGTGGGGAAAAAACATATCCCAAAGTCGTTTTCGTTGGAAAAATCCAATGAGTTCTATGTTTCTTTGGGCTTTCCATGATGGAAATCTGGATTTTCCATAGAAATCCGGATCACTGCGAAATTTTCAGCATCTCCCGTCGGGCCTGCAGAAAAAGGCCGGGCTTACGCAGGGAACGCGTCCAAAGCTCTCCCTGCCAGGTCCTAGTGACGAACATGCACATGGGATCAGAAAAGGAGAGGATGATGGGAATATCATTGGGATATACTATCATATATATATATATATGAATATATGATAGTATATATAAATACTATATACTAATGATCTAGTTTAATTGTAATGCTGATTTAATGCTGATAAAATCACCCATCTCAAGGATCATAAGGGGATAAACCGGCCAAATCAGGGTGGATCAAGACCCCAAATCAGCCTCCCATCAAATGGTAGTTGAAATTGTAGTTGATACTGGAGAATCCATCCAGTATTAGATTTCCAAAGTGTTTCGTCAAATGATATATGTTCACAAACATGTAAATTTATGTTGCACCCAAGAAATGCACCCAGAGATAAAGCTTTGTCATGATGTTTAATGGCTCCTCCATGGGAAAAAAAAAAACAACAGTTGGGAGTGCGACATTTTAGGACAAACCATGACATCACTTGATTGGTGAGGTTATCCCGCAATCAGCCAAGTGTTGTGGCCACATCCACACATTGTGTCTTTGGCCTCCCATCCCTATATCCTGTTGTGGTACAGTGGTACATCAACATTTCTACGATTCTTAATGGGTAGATCAATGTAGATCATCTATAAATATGGCCGGATAGCCCATTTTAAATGCTTATAACCCATCCTTGGGGCCTTGGGGGGCACTTTTTGTGGTTTGTCCCCGGTTGGTTGACAGTCAGACTCTGTGGCATCAAACCGAGTCACTGTGGCTCTTTGCTCGCCTGCCTCAAAGGGGTTACCTCAGATCCGGCAGTGCGTTTTTCCGCTGGGGGTTGGTGACCTTGGTGGTTGGTATACCATGAAGTGTGATAACCATGTTATGACTGGTATACAACATATACAACCATCACCTCAATTGGATTCAATTGGTCTATGTTCATGGTTTAGCAAGATAATAGATCATAACATATGATAACCATGAATAGATGCGAAACTGCCAACCATTAACTGCTAGTCTTCTATCAACTATTAATAGTATGATCACCTACCTATTGGTTGGTTGTTGGATGGAGGGAAACATCTCTTGTCATCAACTAAACTTAGTGGAATTCTTGGACATCTATGGTCTGGGTGATCGATGGCTGAAAAACGCTTGCAGTTCCTGGGTTTAAGCAGCAACAATGGATTCTTTTTCAACATACCCTCTGGTAATGACTAACAGTTTGCTATTGAAAATGGCCATTGAAATAGTGGATTTTCCCATTGAAAATGGTGGTTTACCAGAGGGTAACTGGTGATATTTCTAGGTTGTCATGGGACTTTTAACCAACCATAATGGAGTTCTCTTGTGAAATGTCATGGATATCAGGGAAAATGAATGGATTGGATTTGCCTATGGGGGGATGTATCCGCAAAAAGGAAAGGTATATATCCCATAGGATCCATGTGTGCTATATATGGTAACATTTACCATCAATATAGCCCCAATGTTAGCATATATACCATACATGGTATTGTAAAACCACCGTCATATGGCGGTATGGTCAGGTAAAATCATGTAACATATAGATGCGATATGAAACATAGACATTTTCGGCTAAACGTCATAAAACTGGGTGGGAACAAATAAATGTCTAGTAATTCCATCCACACCCGGTTGTTTCACCAATCTTTGCATCTGCTTCCCACTTCAAAAGATCCTCGAACTTGGCATATGGTAAGATGAAAGGTCACTACGGATACAAAAAATCGGCCCCGCTGTGACCTTTAGAACTCCCACTGGGGTTTAGCCGTATGGAACAGCGAATCAGCGCTGAAGTCAGCTGCCCAAGGCAACCCAAAAGTGTGCTACAATCCCAGAAACCCGGTGTTGAAACCATACTATAGTTAAATGCATCAGAAAATCCCATTGGTTGGTAATATACTGCAAATATTATTGGTTGTTATATGGTTAATAATGGTTAATCATAATCTGGCTGGTTGGTGAAATCCAGTGAACTCCACTGAAAATCCCCCCAATAAACCCTCCATCCCTTTAAACAATCTCCCCCTCCATCCCTTTAGAAACCGTCCCACCTCCACCCGCTCCACCGCTGGCTCGCCCTCCGCGATGGGCGGCCAGCGCAGCGTCCCCGACTCCCGCCAACGCTCCGTCTTGGGAGCCGGCAGGGCCACGTTGGGCCTGGATTTGGGGGTGATAGCGTATAAAGTTATATGTCATTAAGTCAGTATATATATATATATATATTATTATATATATATATATTATTATATATATATATATTATTATATATATTATAATAATAATAATTATTATTATTATTATTTATTATTATTATTATTATTATTATTATTATTATTATTATATCATCATTATAGTTATTGTCATATCATACTACTAGTGTATTATTTAAATTTATATACTATGATACAAATATGACAAACAGATATTACTATGATGTTGCTAAATGAAAAAAAGACATAACACATCATAAAACTATGATGTTGCTATCTAAGATAACAATAAGATATATTACATTATAGTACTATGATATATTACGATATGTTACAACCGATGAGCAGATCCCAGGGATCCATGGGACGACCTTTCCGAGGAAATGATTTATGGATGGCGTTTTCTCGGATAGCTATCCTGGAAGTCAATTCATAATGAAGTGGGACATGTCAACCATAGAAAATGTGTCAACCATTAAAAAAAAAAAACATATGTGCATGATACAATCCCAGCAAACAAGGCAAACAAGTGCATTGATATGCGGATTCAACCAGAAAAAAAAAAAGGACTTGGCGAATAAAATGAAAACAATTGTTCTATTCGAACTAATTATAAGATCCACCCAAAAAAAGATCACACATAGTTTAGCAGGATTTTAAGTAGATTTTACTTGTCAATACAGTGTTGTGGTTGATGATTAAATTCCATTTATTGTCCATTTCAATATAGGAATCCCCAAGTTTTGATGGGATAGAAAAAAGTACATGTCTTTTGGAGGTTATATACTAGACTTAGACTATGTATATATATATACATGGTTTTTGTGCAATCCAGGAGCCTTTGGGAAACCAAATGGAGCACAAAAAAACCAAACACTTGGCACAGCCTCGACATCGGGAAACCATCCCCATCTTGGCGGGGTTTAGACCATGTTTTCATTGAAACCCATGGTGTTTTTTGGGATCTACAAGTTTTTATAAAGCTGGGTATAGCTGGGTATATCTGGGTATAGCCCAAGTGGCAATTTAAAATGGCAACATGTGACCACAAAAACCATCAGATCTTTAGTGAAGCGCCAAGAACTGGGCCCTTTTTTTCAAGTTTCAATTATGGCACATATGACTGGTTGGTGGTTGACCTACCCCTCTGAAAAATGATGGACTATGAAATGGAAAATAATAAATGTTTGAAACCACCAACCAGATGATATTCATGATAATCTTTATGATAATCTTATGATACTCATCCCACATATGGATCATTCTATAATCATGTAATACTCATCCCACAAATGATAGCCATGATATCATTATGGCAAATATGATTTTCAAGTGGATGTTCTACCAATATTTTTTTTTGAAGTCGTGATCACATTAACTCAGAAAATTCTGGCCATGGGTAAAACCATTTCATGTTTACCATCCCCCGGGAAAATCACCATTTCTATAGGTGGTATAAATAAACAATTCCCAGTCATGGGTGGTAAAAATGGCATTGTTTTACCCCCATTATTTGGTGAATATCTATCATGGTGGGATAATCATGGGATATACAGTTGTGAAAATTGGGATGATACTATTATTAACCAGTATTAACATGTATTAACCAGTGTTTAATCCCAAAAATAGTTAATAGTTGGTTATACCCCACTATGGTCCCATTTAAATCCCATTTAAATCCCATTTAAATCCCATAAAACCACCATAAAACCAGAATTAATTGAGTTCCAACTCTTTCCAAGGCACATGCGCCGCTCCCGCCGCTCCCGCGCTGGCCGCTCCCGTGCTCCCCCCGGTGCCGAGACGGCACGAGAGGTCAGCGACACCGGGCGCAGGTACCGGGCGCTCCTGGAGAGGGGCCGTGGTGAGCTCATGTGGTGTTTACCCTCTGGAAGGAAGGGGAAAACCATGATTAACAACGGGTGATAATGGTTGAATAGCGGTTGATAATAACGATTGATAGTGGTTAGTACTGGTTAATCGTGGTCAATCATGGTCAATAGTGGTGAAGAATGGGTAATCATGGATAATTAAGGTTACCTCACAAGCTTGGCACAACTTTTCTGGGCGAAATCCAATTCCTCCAACCATGTCTGATAGAATTTACGCTGCGTAAATCACCAGTTCTGTCATTTGTAGGTCATTTTTTTGGGTCCAACCCAATCCTTTGTTGCTGATGTTCCAATATCCATGCAACTTAACATTGCCTTTTTCTGTTTCTCCCCAATCATCTACCATTCACTTATTATAATCTTATATCATATCATATCTATCCATTCAACAGCATTAACATTCATTCAACACCATTAACATGCATTAACAATAGATTTTCCCATGATTTTCCGACCATTTCTACCGTCAAAAAAGACACGTCGGTTTTGTTCTGCTGGCAGCTCGGGCCTGGGGGTGCGGGGCCATGGCAGCTCCGCCATGGCAACGCTCGCAACAACAGCACTCGAGCTGACGAGCGTCTGCGGTGTACAAGTTGTGGAGCCCCGCTGGGCCCCGCCTGGAAGAAAATGGTGAGTTCAGCAAGATGGGGAGTTAAGCAACCTACCATAACCATGGAAAATCACCAATACAAATGCTTATGTACAAAGATATTGATAATAGTTTGATAGGTAAATCATCTATAGATGCATCTATAAATCGGCCATGAAATTCCATAGCCATATGTGAAATAACAAGATGGTAAAATTGGTCACTGATTGTAGCCGACCGCTGGTAATGATATAGCGATGAGCTAAGTATAATTAAAATTCAATGTAACATATATCTGATCCTTTAGCAATCCCAACTCTTGGGCTATCAATCAACGATATACACAAACACAGAGGATCAGAATACATATCATCATGCAAATAGATTCATACACATGCACTATTCAACAAGTATCACAATATACCCATCAGAATTGTGTTGTAATTTATATCTACAAGCAAGCGTATCAGAGATATTTACATATTATTACATGCCACCTTTTGGCTGCACGCATCAGAGTTTCATCGCGGGTTTCGAAGTTTCCACTGTCCAAATGCAGGGAGCTGACACTTGTGGACAGCGGCCATTAGAAATCGATTCGCAGGGAGCAGTGACTCTACCAGCTGTGGGTGCTAAACGTCCATGAACTTCCCTTTAACCTGGCATTGGGTTGAAAGGAACATCTACACAGGATTTTCCTGCAATTTGTTCTGTCATCCAAATCTGCAATACTCTCTCTCTCTATATATATATAATATATAATATATTATATATATATATGTATATTATATATTATATTATATATATATTATATTATATATATATATTATATTATATTATATATTATATATATTATATATTATATATATATTATATATATATATATATATTATATATATAATATATATTATATATATATATTATATATATAATATATATTATATATTATATATATATATTATACATATATTATATATATTATATATTATATATATATTATATATATTATATATATATATTATATATATTATATATATATATTATATATATATTATATATATATATTATATATATATTATATATATATATATTGTTTGTGTTGTTGCTTGCCAAAATCAGTTGACAGTACTGCCAATTGCCCTCAATCATAGTGGGAAAATCGAATAAAAAATCACGCCACAACGAGAGCAAGACACTCAGAAGCTATGTCAGCTATGTTGGTGAAAGCACGCTGGTCAAAAACACGTGCTTTGACCTCAACATTCAGTAACTGGTGTGTGTATGTATACATATATATATATATATACAATTGTAATGTGTATATATATATATAAATGTAATGTGTATATATATATATAAATGTATACAACTATATAGAACTATATATATATGTATGTATTTATATATATATATATATATGACTCCATAATTTCAAAGTCATACTATTTAATTAATACTATTTATAGGCTCGTAAACTACTTCCGAAACACCCCATTCACCCCACTCCGTAGTTCACTGGGTTTTATGGGTAGACCTGCCGTGGTTGACCTGCTTCGAGAGTCAGGTGACGTGAAAGCTGATGGAAACCTCATCTGCATGGTCTCATTACATACATAATATATATATATACGATATATGTAACATGTATACATGTAATGATAATATATATATATAAGTTATCATAATTAACATCATGGCTTACGGCCAATTGTTCATAGGATTCAACCATCCCCTCCAAAGCTGACCCCCCTGATTAGATGGTTAAGATTCGAACAATTTGCCGCCCATCTTCCCACATTTGGAGGGCCGAAGATGGGGCCATCCACAGCTGCCGCGCTTCCTGCGCGGGCCACGGTGCAACAAAAAGAACCAGCCGCCCAGCTGGACCAGCTCAACCTGGGCCATGAGGACAGGGAGTTCACATGAGTTCACCCAGGTATAAAAAAGGCTTCTCAGCGGCTTCTCAATATGGGATAAAGTGAGGTCTTAACCATCATTAACCATCATTAACCACCATTAACCACCATTAACCACCATTCACCCAGAGAAATGATGGTTACTTACGGATCATCGACAAGCATGGGGAGTCTCAGCAACAAGAAGTGCTTTATGCTCCAGTCGGATGGCAGCCAACGAAGCAGCCAACTTAGGATGTCCGGATGTCCTGGGAATATGACTCGAAATGGTTCCGTAGCCTGAAATCTTCGGCCATTTGGGGATGATTTCCCCAACTAACATATCATCTCTGGTTAGGTCAAATGGGCGGGGCTATAATCTTCCAAGATATGTTGATGGCGTAAACTTCAAAAACTTCATCATGGGTTTCACTATTTGAGTTCCCTCAAAAATATATGTGTCAGTGGATCGTCATCGTCGCTTGAAAATCAGAAGTTGAAACGACCAACCTTGCTGCCACCAATTCTTTTGGTCAAACAATCTCAATATAAATATGTCAACCAACATATACCAACATCTTTGAGACCACCAACAAAAATCATGAGTTAGTATCCAGAAAAACAAAAAACAACATATCCTCATGGTTAAGATGGTTTTTCGATGGTTTTTCCGCATTCTGCTGGTGGTTTAATATCATCATTAAATAGTAACCATTCTTGTTATTCATCCTCATAATGATGATTCAGTTATGTCTTAACCATTCTAACCAGCGGATATCCTCATTTTGATCATTTTTTCGATGGTTTTTCTTCACCCCGCTGGGAACCATCTCGCCCTCTCTGAGGAGCCAGATAGGATGTACGGTGGCAATTGCGCCTTGACCTGACACGTGACACTGGTGCCCGAACGGACCACGATGTTTGCGAACTGGAAAATGGACCATTTATACTATTTATAATTGATGTACCAATGAAACATTGGTGATTTTCCATAGTAGCTATGGAAAATCGTTATTTGAATAGGTGAATCACCTGTAAATGGTCCATTTTCCATAGCTATGTTAGTTTACTGGAGGGTAGTCCACCTGGGATTCAGTTTATTAGGGCGGGGGGTTCCCCACATACTCATCATCTCATACTTAAAATGAGATTAACATGGTACATAAATGGTACTCCCCCTGGTTTTTGCTAAACCCCAATCGGCTGTTGAACTTGGGGGTATAGACTATCAATCCGGGGTTGACATTATCGATCATATTCCCCAAAGATGGACGTGTTGGGGGTATACTAGCCATTAAAAAAAGACACCCAAATATCATGTGGTTGGTCAGATATATGTATCCAGTTAGATCCTTCTATATCCCAATATTATCATTATTCTGGCATTCCCATTCTAATATATATATATATACATATCCACACACACACACATTTGTTCCTGCCAGTAGTTTAGTTTCATTGACTCAATCCTCAGCGTTGATGTTTTGGACAATCTTGTGCTGGATATATATCCACCAAGGAATGGTTGAAGCTTACCCTCTGATAATTGAACATAGCCATGGAAAATTACGCATGTGTATGATATACCCATTACAAAAACATGACAAATTTCCCAAGTAAGCGTTAGATTACCTGAGGCTATACCCCTCAAAGTTCCCTTTCCAAACATGGTTGATGCTATGCCTCGTATCTCCCATGATATTCACATGATATCCCCATGTTTGGTGGCTAAAACAACAGTAGTATCACCATTGCACTCCAGGAACTGGTCGTTTTTTTTAGCATCTGGTTATGTACCCATATAATGTCAACCCCGGATTAATAAACCATGGTTTATTAATTAGGGGGGTACTCCTCCAATAGTCATAATACAGCCTAGGGGTTTATTAATCCTGGGTTGACATTAGCTCATATTCCATTATCTTCCCGGTTTTACATATGTACACTATATTCCCACAAAATGGTTGATGCTATGCCCCACCAAGTTCCCTTTCCAATTTAGTTTGATAATTGTCAAACTTCAATCCCTGTTTAAAGCTACCTCAAAACCATACAAAACCATATAACATCATAAACAAAACAGCTACCAGGAAACCTCCCTTGATGTGGGAAACCCAAGGTCATTTTTTACCTACCAATCTTGGCCATTTGGAGATGATCTTGACCACCCATCTACGATCTATGGTGACGACTTGGGGATGGTATATATATATATTTATAATCGAATATAATAGAATTCCATACATTATATTATATTATAATATATCATATTATATTATATTATATCATATTATATTATATAAATCATATAAATATGTTTATGACATTGGACTTCCCAGATTACCCTCCAGTAAATGAACATGACGACCCTGGCAGAGACGGGTTGGAAGATGAGTTTCCACTGTTCCACTAAAAGCGAGTTATTTTCAGCGTTCAACTGTTCATGTACCAGAGGCTAAAGGGGGGGATACCGTATCCTACCAATTTGAATTCCAATGTGCTTTTCCCCATTCATCACCATTCATCAACCATTAATCCACCATTAATCCTCATTCATCCACCATTAATCAACCATGAATCAACCATTAACCAGTATTAACCAGTATTAATCGACCATTCCCTCCACGGTCCGTCCGTTTCCGGTCGCGCCTTCTCGCCGCTCTTGTCCTGTCCCCAGCCGCCGAAGGTCACGAACTCCTCGGCGATGGTGGGATGGATCGCCACGCTGGCCTGGCACCGTACCACCGTGGTGTGTCTTTAAAGGGACTTAGACGGTGCAGGGGGGAGAAAAACCACATATCTTTACAATATATATATATATATATGATGTTATATATATTTATAAATTTTATATGTAGATTCATATCCGAAGATATCTCCGAAGATATGCTAGACTATTGAATTAATTATACTGATTATACTGTAAATATGAATAACATGAAAAGAAAACAGATCTCGGTGGTATCTCCATCAAACAAAAAATGTCTGTTGTTGAAATTATATTTGGAAAACCAAAACAAATGGTAGAATGTGGTAAACTATGAATCTAAAACGCTATGATTTAAATCACTGTTCGGAAATATTTTTTTGGTGTATTGCATTAGACTTAAGATATACATCTTAAAGATACAGTACATGTTATGGAAACAAAACAATACAATACATATAGAAGGGAAACCAAGGGAACTGCTTCTTCGCGATGGATCTTCGCCAAATATTGGATGATTCTCCAGACCAACCATCATCGCTTATGTGAGCTGATTATTTACACTCTGGTTATGACTAACAGTTTGCCATGGAAAGATCCACCATTTTTAAGAACGGTAAACCCAGGTAAACCATCTATTTCGATTAGGGCCATCGAAAAACCATGGCGAACTGTTAGTCATAACCAGAGGGTAAATCTGTTGATCACGGGCTGGATTGATGTCTCGAATCTGAGGGATATGACCCGGCCTGGTAAACATACAAAAAACTATTGAACATAGCCATTTATAGTGGATTTACCTATAAAAAATGGTGATTTTCAATAGCTATGTTAGTTTACCAGAGGGTATGCGTCTCGAATCTACTCGAATGATGCAACAATACTTATGATGAAGGGTTATAGTAGTAAATTAGTAGTAATAACTGGAAAGAAACAACAACAATGGGCTTGACATCAGCAACAATAGGGATATCATATCAGACCAGTATGAGTATAAGTGGTGTGATGCTGGATATTAAGGGCCGGCGTAATTGGATGCATTATACACCCTTGAAATCTATCCCTGTATTGGAAGGTATGGACCAAAACTTCAAGATCATCCAGGTGACACATCACCACACACTACACATCACCACTTCAAGGTCATCGGATGATTTTTTACCAAAAACCACGATAGTTAAAATGGTAAAATACGGGGGTATAGACTCACGAAATGGAGGTCACTAGGTCACACATGGTCAAACATGGTGAGTTCGTCCCTCTACACCGTACACGGTTAACGTAGCGAACTGGAAAAAAACACCATTTTTGAGAACGGTAAATCATCTATTATAAATGGGCCATTTTCCATGGAAAATCATCAAAAATGGTGTTTATCCCCTAGAAATGGACCATTTTCACCGTGGGGTAAAGGGTCAGCTGAAATCTTGTTATGAGGCCCCTATTCGCTTGCTAGGGATGTGAATCATGAGGTGAATTCTGATTGAAGTGGAGATATGATTGATCTCACTTTGATGGAATTGCATGGTATGTTTTCCAGATATTTTGCAATTTCTGGTCATTTCTATTGTTCTATGGTATCCCATAACATTCTCATGACTCTTAGACCCAAGTTACATCCAGACTATACCAGTCATGCTGGTGATATCCCTAGGCATCAAGGTTGATTGACCTGCACCAGTTGTTCATGAATAGATTGCCAGTTGACAACAAAAGTCCTTGAACTTCCAAATTGGATTACTTTGTATCGAGAAAACGCATTGAAATTCTGAATTGAGTGTCTATATATGTATATATAAGTGCATATATATATATATATATCGGATTTTGCCCTCATCTTCCATCCATCCATGCCCCCAAGCGTTGTCCAAACGTCGAACAGCCAGCCTCGAAGTCGGCGCGAGTCGCGCCCATGCGCACTGCCACGGCAAAGCCTTGCATCATCTCGTCCTGAAGTTTGATCTGGGTGAGCTGGGTGAGATATGTTAACCAACTATAAGTCAGCCATTCTGTAGTAGTTTTCATGGATGTTCATGGTGTCTTAACTGCATCAATGATGGCAGTATGTAGGAGTCTGAACCAGTAAAATTAAGCGAGTAAGCTATGATATTATATAGGTGAAGTTGACCTAAGTAGTTGATGCTGTCTTAACCTCATCAATGATGGTTCAGAATAGTAACCTCAGCTGGGCGAGATTTGAACTTGGATGAGGTTAGTACCCATCAATAGGTAGAAATTAGGCCATCAATATATGACAAAGTTAATGGGTTTAAAGCCAAAGATCAATAGTACAAATTTAATTGGGATAAGAATTTTGAAAGGGGATACAATGATAATCAACATCCAACAAAGTTAATCAAAAAGTGATCAATGGTCAGAACGAAAACAACACAGCACATGGCAACAAACAAGCATGTATGATTTTTCTGTGCGTGGATGCACAGCAGTTAGCAATCTATGGCTACTTCCGATTCCCACTTACCTAGCCAGGCTGTCGCCGGTTCGCCCGCGTCAGGCATAGATTCAAAGGCCTCTTCAAAATTGCGTTTAGCATCTTTGCAAAGTCGTTGCAAAGTCGTTCAGCATTAGCCAGTGCCGGGTCACATGGACATGGGTGCCCAGTCGGCTGCCCAGTCGCTGACAAAGGTAGTGGGTACTTGTGTAGGAACGTCGCCACGCGGCGGCAGGGTCGGGACTGTGCTCCGATACGCCCCGTTCACAAAGCCTGGTCCCGTGTGGCCAGTTGATGCAGTGCTGACCGTGCTCCTCACATTGGTCATTTGCAACTCCAGGACGAAGTGACCAGCAGAGCAACTACTGGTTGTCACTTGTCGCGGCTGAAGAATCCACATGTTGACTGGTGACATATGGTAAACATATGGAACAATATGGAAAACATATGGTAAACATATGGTACTGTAAAATATAACTCTAGACTCTAGATTGAAGGTTTCATCATTATGAAGGGGAACAGTTACAAGGTACTTGGGTGCAGTTCCACTCAACAAGACCCAACAATTTTCGGGCGACATAGTTATGGGGGAGTTATATTCCAATGTGCAGGGTTGAAATCAGCATAGTTACCCCCTATCTGCACCTTCAAGTACTCACTGTCAAAAGAGTATTCACTAACTTCACACTTAAACTTAGATACCCTGCAAAAGATTAAACTATTAGCGGCCCACTAATGTTGGACACTGTGAATCTGGCGGAAGATTGTCTTCCAACCAGCGCCAACCTGCGATCGATTTCTTGCTGCCCAGCTACGGAGTAGGGACCGATGCAGTGTAAACCCACGACCTTTTCCTGAACGCGCCAGTATCCAGGGGGCTACTGGCTTCACCATAGGGATTTCAACCGAAAAAAAATGGTGGATTCCACGATATGTCTTGCCACTTGTAAGATGTTGCAAAGCTGGTGAAAATAAACCAATCGAAAATATGTTATATCTGCCAAGAATCCAAAATGGCCTGGTATCACTTAATCACTTTCCAGCTACCCCACGAATGGGCAATGATGGTTGGGAACCAGCAAGACTAGCGAATGAACCACAACATAAGATAATCTGAAGATTGGGTATACCTTTTTTGGGGGGTACCAACCAAACCCATTTCCAAGGAACTCTTAGAAGCAGCAATGGTCAAACACCATCCAAACAAAGAAGGGTCCTGTCACAATTGACTTTAAGAAATCCGTTCAAAACAAACATTACGATTACGAGCATAGTTGGAATGTGTTGTAGGAACTGAGTCTGATCGGCATGCTGTATGTACGGTATTGCAAAGTTCTTATAAAATGAATAGCAAATGTCGTCAGGAGAAAACTTCTGGGAAATTCCCAAACAAACATGTTCATAAATGGGTATACTGTATCACCAAAACGAGTACTGTATACGTCAAATCCCTTTTCGCATGGTCCATCTGTTCTCTCAGCCTCAATTTGGGCATACCCACTATCCCACTGTTTGCAACATGTGGTTTACCTAGTACATCTATATCGAAATTTACGTGGAGTAACGCAATTTGGCATATTTGCGTGTATATATATATATATATATACAGTATATATACATGTTCGCCCCAACCCGGACGTTGCTCCACACTTACAATTGTCATGATCATGATCATGATCATCATCATCATCATCATCACCATCATCATCATCATCATCATCATCATTACATCATTACATCATCACATCATTCATCATGATCATCATCACATAGAAAATGCCACCCTCTCTGCACAATATGTTGACTGGGGTAATAACATCAACTTTATCTTCATGAGGGATCAAAATTCGCTACCCCCTCTGAACAATATGTTGACTGGGGTAATAACATCAACTTTATCTTCATGAGGGATCAAAATTCGCTACCCCCTCTGAACAATATGTTGGCTGGGGTAATAGCATCAACTATATCTTCACGAGGGATCAAAATTCGCCAACCCCTATGAACAATATGTTGATTGGGGTAATAACATCAACTTTATCTTCATAGCCACCTGAAGTCAGACGCGGCGCAACGTCAGGGTTGCAGCGGACATGTTTAAAAATTAAAATTTTGTCTATTTCATTCTATTTCTACACGCATAAACAAGACAGACAAATACACCCCAGACCCAGGCAGTGTTGCTTGAGAACAGGATTCCCCCAATGGATTCTGATCATCCCGAGATATTGGTCAGTACAACCAACCAATCTCGGAACTCATCAACCAACCGGGGTTTAGCAGCCATTGTTCATATAAATAATCATTCTGTGGCATGCATATATATATATATATAGATAGATAGGATAGGATAAGATAGGATAGGATAGGATAGGATAGGACCGATAGATAGATAGATCCCATTCCATCCCATACTCCCAGTGATCTTTACCATTATCATCCATATTAAACCATATAAAACATCATAAAACCGCATTAAACCATGGCAACCCAGTATTTCTTCATCACTCCAAAGAAAAAACACACCATCTGGGCCTTTAAAAACCGCTCAAAAACGCCGTCCCAGTCCGGTCCCGGAGTCCCGGGCCTCCGGAAGTTTCAAAACCAACTTGAGGCCCGTCTTCACCTGCAGCGTCGGCATTTTTCCAGCGCAGTAGCTGAAAAAGAGCAGCTTTTTTCTATGTTTAGTTGAGGTTAGTTGATACACAAAAACCTCAGGTGTTCACTTCAGACCCCTGTTGTGGGTTCATGGCCCCTAGAAGCGATGATGGAGGTATCATTGGGGATATAATGGGGATATAAACCAGCCTGAAGTTCCGTCATGTTACTCCAATTTCAAAGAGATGAAAATGGGGCTGCAAAACCATGGGGATATAGGGGTATACATGGGTATACGGTATACACAACGAATTGCTATGGGTTGATCTGAAAAACTGGAGACAAAATCCAGTTTCGAACCTGATTTGTGCCCCTTCAATAGCCACTACATATGGGCATATTAGGTGAGATGAAACCTGGGAAGCCTCTGTGAAAAGTGTGCTATCCTGCTATCCTTACAATCAATTGACGCAACAAGGCTACCTTGCACACATACCCATCCTACAAGCCTGTGTTTTGTTGGGCCCTTGGGTTTTTTTCGTGTTCCCATTGGTTCAAGACGACAGGTCGCACAGGTCCCCACAAAGACCCGAGTCGTCCACCTTCTTGTCATCATCGTTGAAGGCGTACCTGGAAAAGATCAACTCATCCCACAGGCAGCGTTTAAACACAGACGGCATGCGTGAAACCAAGCAAAACTGCCAGAGTTTCCACATCCGAAGATAACATGTTTGTGAATATGGATCAAAAGTAGATCCAAATACGGATGTACAAAATACATCTGACTACACATCTGAAGCATGCCGGTTTCTCTCCAAATTTGGACCCTTCCCATGGTTTCTGGTCATCTCAGTGAAAAACTCTGGAGAAGCCAATTTCGGCCGCTGGCGCACAGCATGCTGTTGAACCGCGACTGTTTCACCCGAACGTTCTCCTGGCATTGAGTCATGGTACCCAGTGGTACCCAGGTACCCTGGTCCGGTGCCCTAAGTCATAGCTGGGATTCATGGATGGTTATTATAATTAATGTCAACCCTGGATTAATAAACCCCAAACGGCTGTTTAATTGGGAGGGTACCATTTAAGTATCAGATAATGACTATTGGAGGAGTACCCCCCCCAATTAATAAACCATGGTTTATTAATCCGGGGTTGACATTATATATATATATATATACACGTAGAATAAACCCTCAGTCATATGGCAATTACATAATTAGGTTTTGACCTATCCCCACATCAAACACAATGGCTGTGCATCGAACACATTTAAGGCAAATATGGCTGCAAATCAAGTGGAACCATATCCAGAGTCTGGACATGGTCTTTTAGGGCCAAGCAACCATTGGTGATACTGCATCGTAATTTAGATACTTAAACCATACAATGTACAACAATCAGCAAAAAGAGATGCTTAACCAGCCATGGTTTTATAATGTTCCCACCATTGTAAAAGTAAATTATTTCACGTCCCAAAGGTTTAATATGATTTGAACCACTCCGTTTCATCATCATTTGAACTGATGATTAAACCCTTCAAAGACCTAGACATCCATGGAAAAGAAACTGAAGACGGAAGTTGAAGTATGAGACCACAGTTGAATCTCGGAAACATGTTTTAAAGCAATTCCAGAATTTTGGCTATAAACCATTGGATCTAATATGATATTACATCATATCTCCGTTATTCCCAAGTGATATCCCCAAATAACCAATCAACTCGTACCCCCCAACAATTCTGCTGATTCAACATGAAAAACAAACAAACTAGTTAGCTATGTTAGCTTGTTAGTTGTGTCCTAGATGTATCGAACTAGTCAATGGGGTGTAAAACCAACTTGTTCATGCGGGGAATTATCGAATCACCTTGTTTTTGTTGGGTTATTAAACCGTAGCTGTCTCAAGGTTTATCGGTATATTCCCAGAAAATACCAATATTTGGAGATTAATTAGGCCCTCATTATTGCTGAAATCCATCATTGAGTTTTTCAATACTGGAACCCAAATACCCTAAACATATCTAAACATATAACTGGTTGGTGGTTTAAACCCCTCTGAAAAATATTAGTCAGTTGGGATTATCATTCCCAATATATGGGAAAATAAAAAATGTTCCAAACCACCAACCAGATAAATATAAAGTATGTATATATATATATACATACCTATATATTCCCCAACATGGATCCAGTATGATCCAGGAATCCAGTCCAATCCCTTTGAACTAGCCAATCAACCCAATCTTGAATAATGTCCAAGGAAAAACACAGGGGCCGGTTTGTTATACCATACACCCTCTGATAAACTAACATAACTATGGAAAATCACCATTTTTGATGGCTAAATCAACTATTTCTATGGCCATTTTCAATAATTTTTTGTATGTTTACCAGAGGGTAAACCTCCATTTTCCTATGGTTTTCCTATGGTTTTCCCACCTACCTGGTGTTGAATGATTCGCGAAGCGCCTGTGATTTTTCATCCACCGGGAAAACTTACCTCTCATCAATCAAGTACTCGTTGGTTGATAGCTTTGGATCATCAACTGGTGTCCAACAAACTGTCCGTATAAATCCCTATATGGTGGTCAAGAGTGGTTAATGGTGGTTAATAGTGGTTGATGATGGTTAATCATTGATTAATACTGGCTGGTTGGTGGTTTCAATAACTGGTTGGTGGTATATAATCCAATAATTACTGATGATCAATATGTCATATATGATAATATGATATATGTCTATATATATATATGTATATGATGATGATCTGGTTGGTGGCTTCAACCTACCCCTCTGAAAAAAAATATGAAAGTCAGTTGGGATTATGACATTCCCACTATATGGAAAAATAAAATTCATGTTCCAAACCAACAACCAGATAAAATGTAGATAACTCCCAGTTGTCCACCAGTATGAAACAAATAGCCTGGTTGATTGCAACAAAGGCTCTTTTTAAGTATGTTGATGGGTTATGAAAACTACTATGGATTTTCATAATCCGGAATCATTAACAGTAGAGTAAAACTTCCTAAACGTTCATATTCTGAACAATTTTTGGAAATGCCAGTATAAGTATTATAACTTGATTCAAGTAGTATAACTCCCTAAATCAACCAGTGATAGTAAGATCATGTAATATAAACCATGTATAAACCATATATGACCAGGGAGTATTTACAAGTATTTACCATATATTATCATCCCAGTACTATGGATTATGACAAAATCCCAAATCATTCAAAAAAAACACATAGTATAATTCCCTATTTATTTTTTGTTGTTTTAACATATATAAAATTCCCTAAATACACCACTGGTTGGTGGTTTGAACCCCTCCGAAAAATAAGAAAGTCAGTTGGGATTATGAAATTCCCAATGAATGGACAAATAAAATTAATGTTCCAAACCACCAGACCACTAAAATAGCTATGAAAAATCACCATCTTTAATAGGTAAATCAACTATTTCTACATGTGCCATGGCTTCAATAGCTATATTAGTGATTACCAGAGGGTAAACCATATATTATCATCATCATTTATAGGATGCTTAAGGGGGGGGAATGGAAGGGGGGGGATGAATATGTATCCCTAGTGCTGCTAGATCCATCCCCATTCCTTCTATAGAGCTCCCTAGCAGTGCTAACAGTAAGGGCCCTTAAGGAATACCAAAGGGTCTGGAGAGGTCCCTAGCACTCCTGGTTTATACATGTTTTTGGCAGTAACCAAGAATGAACAATTAAGGGGATATGATTTGGAACCGGCATAAAACTTCATTGGGGACCCGTGATTTTTAATGTGTCACCGGCATCATCATCATCATCATCATCATCATCGTCATCGTCATCGTCATCGTCATCGTCATCGTCATCGTCATCGTCATCATCATCATCATCATCATCATCATCATCATCAATAGTCATCAATAATGATCGATAATCATCATCAATCACTATGACTATTAAGAACCATAATAGTGATATAGCGAACTGTAACAAATTGCCAGAGGGTCCATCCATTAATATACAATGAATATATTATCCCATTAATGAATTCATGGTATAATTATAGATAATTATCACCATATATCCATTACATCCATCATGGTCTATCCATAATTATCCCCAAAAAATCTGCCATTTCGAAGCCATCAATTCTCCATAATTATCCCATAATTATCCCATAATTCTCCATATTCATGGTCTATCCATATTAATGGTCTAACCATATCATGATCTATATCAATGGTCTACCCATAATTCTGCCATAATTATCCCATAATTCTACCATATTAATGGTCTATCCATATTAATGGTCTAACCATCAGGGTTTGTCTGAAAATAGGGTATGTCCAAATCTATTGGTTCATCATTTTCCCTATGAAAAAAATAGCTATTTATGGGAAGTACACACCATTTTCAGACAAACCCATCACAGCTACGCTGCTAGCGCTGGCCACGCTGGCCGGAAACCGTTCCGACCCGCTTCACTCACCGCTGGCGCCTCGCCGAACTCCGCCTTGGCCTGAGGCTCCGTGAGGCCGATGCAGCCAATGGGTGGATGGCTGAAGACCACCTGAGGGCGGTGCTCGCGGGCGTAACGCGGGCGGAGGATGTGGAAATACTGAGATATACTATAGAATAGGAACATAATATATATATATATAAAATAGAGAATCTATATCCATAGTACATTAACATAATAGTATTTCCATAGTATGTCTATAGTATTGCAACTATGGAAATACTAAAAACATATACTATGGATGTTGAAATATAGACATATTGTGGATGTTGACTATAGATATTCGATAGAAATATGTACTATAAATAGTTTCTATGGATGTTGAAATTGAACATATGATGTGATATTAAGATCATATTTCAACAATAGATTCGATGCATATTCATATTATAGAATTACACTGCATATAGTATAGTGAACCCACAAACAAGTATAGACAAGCAATTAATCACCCTTTGATAGGATTTATTTGTCCTACATTTTGTGTTTTGCAGTGTTGCGGGATGTTGCGGGTCGCTATGTAAATATATATATATATATAATAATATCATAATCCCCATGAAACTACGGTGGATGGAAGAAATCCTGCACCAGTTGATAGGTGGTTTATCCCATTATTTATAGGGTTTCAACATGTTTCAACCATCCAAGGTGAAGCAGGATTTCTTCCATCCACAGTAGTACAATCCAACCACAACTACAACACCCAAACCAGCAGCTTCACAACATGCCCGGGTCGCCGTTGCGATCGTCTCATAGGCAATGCGGGCACGATCTGCGGCAGCATTTTTTGAGGCCCGGTTGGGTGGCAGAACTTACAGAACGAATGGCCACCTTAGCAACTCGGGGGGGGGTCCATAAATGTGGTACCCTCTGGTAAACATATTAAAAAGCTATTGAACATGGCACATTTATAGTGGATTTACCCATTAAAAACGGTGATTTTCCATAGTTATGTAATAGTTTACCAGAGGGTATCCCTAAAATCATTGGTTTATAATGGAACATGGATGAAATTTAGGGATGAAATTTAGGGATACCAATGATTTTAGGGATGAAATCATGTTTACCAGAGGGTATCCCAAAAAAAAACATGGATGAAATTTAGGGGTACCCCCTAAAATTAGGACGCCTCCATTTAACAATTGGTGACCTCAACCACCAAAAAATTGGTCTCGGTGATTTCGTGGGATTTCACCGGCAAAAAAAAAGGGATTCCGCCGTGATCAAGTGATGTGATTCCATTCTCACGAGCTTCGAACCACAACCCAGGGCCATCCCCTGAACCATCCCAAACAACCGACAACTTGGAAATAAACTCACAAATTTTGGATTCAATATACATAGAGAGTATATAGCATGTGTTGGCCCCGTCAACTTGACATATTTCACGAACTTGGCCTCAATGGTGTTCTTCATTTGTGAGTAGCCGGGCACGTTGTGGGGAGAGTAAATCCACTGAAACAGGAATCAACAACAATTCCAGCTTTTGTTCAATCACCGAAAACCTTCGTTTCGAAATCGTAGTTCCTATCTGTTTGCTGGTGACACTTCACCATGCTTTTGACACGAAATCGCTTAAAACCCCAGACCCATATATATGCCCATATTTCTGGCTTAAATCCCCCTCAACCCCCCACAAAATCCATCCCAAACGCATCACTCAACGATTTTCGAATCCATCAAAATCCATCAAAGATCAGGTTTCGCCATCCAAAATCCACCAAGAAATTCCGTGAAATCCACATCCCCATGGTTTCCCCATGGTTTCCCCATGGTTTCGCCATCGGATCTCCCGGCCTTCGCCCAGGAAGAGGCGATCCGCCAGGCGCCGGCCCGCGGCGATAGCCACAGGGGTCAGCTCGTAGCCGGTGCTGGTGATCTGAAAAAAACGCTTGGGAATCCACTATTAATAGGATTTTCATAGATCATGAATGAATGGGATTATAATATGGGATTTTAATATTAAGTACGTATAATCCCATATTATAATAACCCCAGTATAATCCCATTCACTATTAATAGGTGTATAATATGGGATTATAATATATTATAATCATGAATGAATGGGATTTCACACCCACATGAATTTTAAGGGATTATCCTGTTGTTGATATGTTGGTTTGCCAACACCAGGATGATAATGTTTGGGTGTATCATCCCATTATATAATGTTTGGGAAATGTATTAACAGGATGATTGTGGGATGATCATGGGGATTATATTAACTATAGTAACTATAGGATGATAAAAGTAATAAGATGATGATAGTAAGATGATGATGTTGGGAATTATTAACATGATGATAATCCCTGTTACAATCAGGATTAATGTTGGATTCAATGGGTTTAATAAGATTATACTAAGAACATGATTATTAACATCCTATTAACCAGGTTAACAATGATTATAATGATGATTACAGATTAACAGGATTATAATGCAATTAAATATATAAGTTAATTTATGATTTTAAAACTATTATAATCCAAGTTGAAATCTGAAATACTAAAATTATATTGACAGGATTATTCAATAGATTCAATAGGTTTATTAAGATGAAAATACGATGATTATGTGATGATAATGGGATTATTTAATATGATTAATAAAAGGATTAATAAAAGGATTATTTAATAGGATTCTTTACAATAATTATAATCGGGACCATGATTATATATATTATGGTATTATGATGTATTATGTATATAACTATATCCCCTGTAATGATTATAATAGTTTAATAGTTGGTTACGATTGATGATTTGGGATTGTAATCATGAATCATTGGGATTATTCAACGGTTCAGGGGAACTATTGGGAACTGTAGTGATATGATTGACCTATGCGGAAAGATTATCTAATGGAATTTGAATAGGACTACATGTTTACATCCCCAATCTTGGGATTGTGTGAAATTGTGTGGGTTTTAATGGGGATACGATGGGGATATACTTGGGAATATTACGTAAAAGGGCTTATTGAGGATCATAAGACAGGATACTTTTTGGATATATAACATTATATAACTATTGGATACTATTGGGAACTATTGGGATTCAAAATTAGTGATAATATGTAGTAATACTTGGGATTTAATCATCAAGATCCAATGGGCCTGCTGGGCTTCCTTTTATGGGATTTTTCGCAAGATCCGATGATGAAAGTGTGGAACAAATCGGATCATATGGAGGATCAAAAAAAAACGGACATACCCTCTGGTAATTTAACATAGCTATGGAAAATCACCATTTTTGATGGGTAAATCCACTATAAATGGCCATTTTCAATAGCTACGTTAAATTCCCAGAGGGTTAAATTAATACAAAGAATTCCTAGGATTACAGGGATCAAGGTGGGAACCGATTTTTTTTCTTGTTTTTTTTTGGGAATTTTGGCCAACGGGGGTTCAGCAAAAAATATGATCGGACGATCTTCGGAGACTTGTCTGAACTGTGATTCACCAGAGGATCTCATCATGGAGGAGCTTTTTGTTGATTGGATACCCTCTGGTAAACTAACATAACTATAGAAAACCACCATTTTTCATGGGAAAATTCACTATAAATGGTGATTTTCAATAGCTATGTTAAATTACCAGAGGGTACCAGGATTCATCAACCAAAGCTTAGTGGCCATCATGGGGATTTTTGTGGTGCTTAGTTCAATGGGATTTAACCTAAGGAGAACGAGGGATCATGGTGATACGATATATTGATTATTGATGTGATTATTTTAGTATGAGATCGAAGGGTTTATTGGGGATCATGGAGGAAACCATTTGGATATAGGGATACCACAATGATAAGATCAGGGGATGTAATCAGAAAATCCCAATGCTCATATCCCTCGTGCATTTCCCATTATAACCTAGGTACAGGCTGTCATAGGGGATATAATCGGGATACTCGACATACAAACAGAATAACGAGTGCTAAGTGGGGATGCAATTGGGATCTTTGAAAGGGAAAAACGATTTAATGGGGGTTAACATGAGTTAACCAAAATACCATGGGAATATAATGGGCATATTTGGTGGAATATGGTTGGTCTAATGAGGTTGAACCAACCAAATCGTGATAGTTATCGGTGGGTTTATAGGGGAATAGGGATACCCATGGATACCACACTTAAAAACATAGTGATCTAACAATCAGAAAGAGCAAGTATATCGGATCTAATTGTGTTTAACCAAAGTATCATGGCGATAGAATGGGACTATTAGTGGAATATGGTTTGTTTAAATAGGTAGGGTTCAAGGGGCCTTAGCCAACAACTGGTGGACTTACTGGTTCTTTAACACGGAAAAAAGGATGAAAACAATGGATTTACCATCAGTAAGACCGAGAACATTCGAGGGTGTCTCGCACATACTTGGATAGATAGCGCCAGAAGCACACTGGGTAGGTTAACCTCCTTCTCAACAGAGACACCCGCGTTGCCAGTCAGCTTCATGACTTTGGGTGATTAACATTGATTAATCAGATCAATTCTTGGGTGTAACATTGGGGATGTATGGGGATGTATCATATAAAATAGAAACTATGTATATAATTATATATATATATTATATGGATGTGGGTCAAAACCCTGTACCCCCAGTGAACCTCAAGGTTGATGGTCATCCCTTATACCACATGATTAGTAGGTTTTGACCCATAGCCATATCTAAAATGAGATCTGACAGAACACAGCACCAATCTCGGCTGAGTTACATCACCAATGGCGTAGATTCCTGTGGATCAGCTCACCATTTATGGTTCATCCCCTTCGGAAAATCGCTCGGATTTTCATGGGGGTTCGTCCCCCAAGAAAAATAGGGTTTTGATCTGGAAATGTCCAGGTCCCCAACCTTCAGTCCTCCGCACCTCGTCCTCGTAGCAAGCGGCCGCCTTCTCTGTTTTCACCGGCAGCAGCTCGGGTGTTTGAGCTTCAAAAGGGCAGCTACGTCGACTGCAGTTGGTAAAAGGGTTCAGTGACATGTCAATTGGTACAACATGTCTGAATTAAATGTACAAATCTACCAAAGTATGAAAAACAGGGTATGCCGTTCTGCACTCCCCCTTGGATGCGTCGTTAGAGTGCATCCATTTCTTTCTTTACAGCTCAACCTGCCCTACCCATTGTACTCTGTACAGTACATGCATCCTCTCAGCTCCGTAGCATCTCGTGCTCTCGGGCATCTTCGATCAGTATGGACGGTCTGATCGCCCATTCGTAAAAGCAGCGGACTTCCAGGGATTGGTCTTCCACGGGTGCGCATCGCAACCTCTCGGCACAAGGCACACCATGTGAACGGTCTCGCATAGCCAGTTCGTGGTCCTTGAAGCTGGGTGCATCCACGTGTATCGTGATACACTGTTCCACATGGCGTCCTCAACACCTGAAATCCAAGTTCTGCTCTGCTATGATCTTCTGGCACTCCTGGAAAGTCGCCCTGCCTCCCAAAATGGTCCCACAGGGCTGCCTCTTCATACGCAATGTCTTGAATCGCCGTCTCAATTCGGCCTGTCATACTGCTTGATGTGCTTCCACTTGAGGAGCTGGAAGCTGATGGGCCACTTTGTGGTGCGGCCTTTGGTTTTGGGCCCGCTTTTGGTGGGGCCTTTGGTGTTTGGCCCGCTTTTGACGGGGCCTTTGGTCCCTCCTTTGGCGGGGGAGCTTTTGCAGGCGCAGCCGGGAGCTGGACTGGAGGATCAGCATGACCCTCCAACCCGCCCTCACCAGCCGAAGCTGGGAGCTGGACTGAGGCCCTCTGCCCCAACCCGCCCTCACCGGCGCGTCGCTGCTCAGCCACCGCGAGCTGGACTGGGGATCCCTCCTCCATCCCCAACCCGTCCTCAGCGGGGCTTGGCTGGTTTGACGACCCAGCAGCCGAGGGCAGATGCTGTGGTCTTTCCACGGGTCCGCACACCTCAGCACATGCTCGACCCTCTGCCACTGACGTTTCCTCACCCATGGGGAGACTTCGGCCACGGGTAAAAAACATTCTTTTCCAGTTTTCGCCCAATGCGCCTACTCCTACCTTCCACAGGATTTGGACCATCAGCGTGATCAGAATGATCAGCACCGTGTAGATGACCATAAAGTTGTGGAAGTCACCTGCTGGTCCATCGTCTTCTTCATCTCCTTGAGCCTTTGACACTGACAACAAGGCCGCCATCGTGATGAGCTTGACGGCCATGGTGGCGACCGATTTTGAGTCGGTCTTGATCTCCTTTTCTTTTTTCTCATCCTTCTCCATTTCAACACCTTTTTCTTCGGGCTGAGCAACTCCCATGCCCATCATCTGCTTCAAAGTTTCCATCCTCGATGAGGTCAGAACTTTTGTGCCCAGGTCCGCCAACATCTTCTCACCAGGGACATGACCCACCTGCCAGTCACCACGCAGCACAGATTGGCGAGCAAACGCCCACCTCAGCCTGAGGTGTCTTGTCCTCCAGCTTCCGCCCTCAGCAACCAAAATGGCCAGTGCAGCTTGCGAATCGCACAATGCCACCTTTGAGATTTCACCAAACAGCTCTGCCAGCACGACGTAAACTGACTCGCCTGCAATCATCGCCTCAACGAGCTCCATCAACTCTGACTCGGCCGTGCTCAAGGTGATTGTGCCCTGCCTGCCGCTTCTCCAAAACATCAACCCATCGTTCACCATAACCACAAACGATCCATGGGACTCATCTGCTTCGGGTGCAAAGCTGGAGTCTGAGTAGACATACAGCGTGATCGGGTCATCGATCTTCTGCTTGTACTGTAGGCCCTCACCTGCAGTTCTCCTGAGATAGGACCTCATTTGTGCTGCTGTGTCCTTGATGCAGTTGGCGGCCTTCAAAACGTTGGCCCCCATCCTGGAAACTCCAAACATCAAATCTGGTCTGCTTCGGGTCACCAGCCAAAGCAACTCACCGATGACCTTCTGGGAAAACTTGACTCCTTCTGGCGAAGGGGGAATCACATCTGGAGGCATCGAAGCTTGGTCACGGGTGATAGGGAGCTTTCGTGGTTTTCCCTCCTCCTCATAGCGCCCAAGCAAGTCTTTGATGTATGCCTCTTGTGAAAGGCACCATTGGACCTTCTCCTCCCCCTCGATTTGGTGGCAAGTCACCTCCAGGCCCAAAAACCTCACTGGTGTCTCGCCAACCCACTCCGGTTGTGTGGTCGCCCAGGTCTCTTGAAACTTCTGAGCAACTGACTTCGCCACCTGCTTCTCGGCGACGATAAAAATGTCGTCGACATACGTCATCACAAGGCCAATGACTCGGCCGTTTGAGATCCATTCTTCTTCTGCCTCTTGGAAGCCTCCTCTGACCACAACCACCTTCCATAGGTTCTGCTCTGACTCCATCGGCTTCAGCTCCAGGCTTTCGCAGCGGCCATCAATGACCACCTTGATGTCAAAGGTCTTGATCGTTTTGTCTCGATGAAGACCCCAAAGCTTTGGTGAGCGCCTGAAGCCGTACACTGCCTTCAATGGCAGGTACAGTGTGTCCGGGTCCAGAAACTTCATCTCCTTCAAGATGTGGGGTGGCTGGACCAAAAGAAGGTCCTCATCCGGCTCCTGTTCCATCTGCGCGTTGAGGAAAGCAGTTCTGACATCCAGGATGCATCCGGCCCACTTCATGCGGGATGCAATCCATGCCAACAACCTCAAAGATGTGGCATCTGCACCACCTGAGTAGTTTTCCTCCCCCTCTTTCTTCTCCTCATAGTTTCCGCAAACAACCCACCGGGTTTTCTTTTTCCCTTCTTTGTGGTCTGGGGAAGGTTTCACAGTGAACACCAGTTTGGAAGGTATGATCTCCAACTTCTTACCCTCCTTTTCTGCCTTCTTCTTCAACGCTTTGACTTCATCCTTTGACAGCTCCTTCAAGGCTGCCTTCTCAATGGTCAGGGACTCCACCTCGCTTCTCACTGATGGGATCCACTCCGACCAGTTTCTGACCACCTCCTTTGGTGAGATGACCTTTGTTTGAAGGATCTCATCTCCATCCTCCTTCACTTCAGCCATTTTTCTCAGCCTTCCCAAAATTCTGACTTCCTCGGCGGCCAGATCTGGGTCGTCGTTGATGATGGACTGCATCTCATCCTCCACCACCTTCATCAATCTTTGAACTTCAGCCTTTTCCTTTTCTTCCAGCACCTCCTCAGGATCTGCAACTGAGGCATCCATTCTCCTCACTGCTGATCTGCCTCTGATTCGGCGTCGCTGTTCTTGTGCATCTCGCCCTTCTCTTTCCACCGCAATCCAAACCGTCTCATCCTCCGGCTCAGTGGTGGGCGCCAAAATGTAGCGCGTAAGGCGTGGGGCTTCGCCTTCTTTGATCACCCAATGACCATGGTTTTCCACTGAAGGGCATAGATACTGAACCTTCTCCACTCTGGGGTCCAGGTCATCCCGCCTCCATGTCCGCTTTCGGACTCTTACTTCTTCCAAAAACCTTGGCCAACTTGGTCTTGTCTCCATCCGGACACATCGGTACACCTCATTGACGTACCTCAAAGCCCATGGCCACCATTTCGCATCTTCACTGGCCTGCCTCAACGTTCTGCGGATCTGGTTCTTGAAGTCCTTCACCGCCATTTCAGCTCTGCCGTTTGCGGCTGGATCATCACCTGGTGTTTTGGTGAGGTAGATCCCACGCTGTCGGGCCCATGTCTTGAACTCGCCAGCAAACTCATGACCTTGGTCTGAATGGATGCGGCCCACATGGAACCCTTCCGTCCGCAGCCGCAACACGAACTCCATCACCGTGTTCACCACATCTCTCGCCTTTTTGGAACCCATTGGCAAGGCCATTCTGAACCTTCTCAACTCTGTGACCTCATCCAAAGTTGGGGGTCCAAACGCCTCGCCTGGGAGCTGGACTGGAAGATCTGCATGACCTTCCAACCCGTCCTCACCAGGGGCGTCGCCAGGCTCTCCTTCAGCCGGCGCTTCACCAGGGAGCTGGGCTGGAAGCAACTCCTCAGCTTCCAATCCGTCCTCACCCGGTGGAACTGGATCCTCAGCTCCTTCTTCAATCTCCGGAGCTCCTTCAGAAGCTGCTTCTTGAGGGGGGTTCTGCATCTTGTCACTCCCCTTTGGCACCCTCCAGGTCAAAACTCCAACCAAAAAATACCTTGCCATGTGCCCACCCAAATCATAAGCAGGCTTCAGTGGACCAGCTGTGTCGATTGAAAGCACTCCAGCAATTGGGTCCTTGACCAGTCGATGAGGCGGGCATTGTTGTGAGCTCTCCTGGCATACTCGACAATCTCTCCTGTATGGAACATGCCTGAAAGCCAAATGCTCGCTCCAGGACATAGCTTTCCCTTTAAAAATGGGGCCCTCAACCTGTCTGATCAAAGCTGAGGCGACCATTGACATCACTCCTGGGGCCCATCTCGAAAGCTGGGACGAGCAAGATACCCTTTCTCCTGCTCTGCATCTCCTTTGATGACCAGCTGCGTAGAGCTCCAAGTTCCCACCAAACGTCGTTGGCTTCGGGGTCAGACCACCAAGCTCACCCTGCTTGAAAGTTGATTCCTCAAAGCTGAACTCTCGTGCCAGCTCTGCCCATTCTTTTGTATCCCACCAACTCACCACCTCCGGCATGAACTCCTTGGGGGTTGCTGGCTGCTCCACAGAGACGGTCACTTCGGTCTCAACCTTTCTGGCCCTTCTCATGTACACTGCAACCATGTACAAAAACCAAAAACGCCACATCAAAACATCGTCTTCATGAAGCTTCTGTTTCTCCTCTTCTGTTGCATCATGAATACCAAACTCCTCACCTCCCCAGCGGCGAATCGGCCTCGGGGCACTAGGCTGCCCTGGAATGGGGATGTGCCTCAGCAAGCTTCTCGTCCTGCAGTTTGGCCCACCAACGATCGCATTGATCTTTCCCTCCAAAGCCACCCTCAACAGACCACGATAAACTGCGTGGTCCGACAGCATGTCATGTTGTTCTCCTCGTTGAACATCAACTTCCAACAAGGCATCGACAGAACCACCCAGCTGTTTGATGGCATGCCGCAAAGTGAACCCTGTTTCTGGCCCAGCATACAAATGAACTGCTAAGCCACTCCTCTTCCAGCGCTTTCTTGAGTGTCTGTTGCCTGGAAGATCAGACCAAGTTCCAGGCTCCACCACCAGCCGCTCCTTGATGTGCTCTGGGAGTGAAGACAGCACTGGATGTTGCGACACCAGCTTTCTCAGCCATGCCACTTCCGCATCAAAACTTCCAATCTCATTGGGAATGCCCATCTTGATGTCCTCCAGCTCCGCAATCAACGTCAAAGCCTCAGATCTGGCAACATGGGGGCAACTTCCCTTCATCATCACCTTGATTTCTCCTCTCAGAGGATGGTGGATCTGCATAGATCCTTGCTTCCAGGAAATGTCACAGTTCAGCTTCTGCGACAACAAGCCCATGGGGATGATAGGCTCGATGGCAGGTGAAGGTGATATCATAGCACCTCCAGGGGACATCTTCAACCTCACCGTTCTTCCATCTGCCAATGCCACCTCCACCACCGGGTACAAATCCACATTCTCGCCTTCATGTCTAGGACGAAGTGGATGTGTTGCACCTGAATCCACAAGTCCAACGTCGTTCCCAACATTGAGTCTCTTCATCTTGAACGTCTTCATCGACTTCAGCTGCTGATGAAGGCGCTCCATCACATCTTTTCGCTCTTCTTCAGACGTCGAAGAGGTTGTAGAAGCAATAGTGTTGGAAGAGCTCGACAGAGACTTCAACATCCGGTTGGCCTCCTCCAGCAAGTCCTTCACTGCCTCCCCTTGACTAGATTGGCTTCCAGTCTCTGACTCCTTCATTGGTGAAGTCACATTGCGCTCCTCCCCCTCGGCCTTGGCAACCCTCGGCTTGTTGGGGCTTGTTTCGGTAGAAGCGCCTTTTGACCTGGTGCAGCTTGGTGAAAGGTGGTCCACACTGCCGCAGTTGTAACACCTGCGACGATCATCTTTGACATCATGGCTAAACGTGCACTCCTTTCCCCTTTTGCAACCAGCATCCGTGAGAAAAAACCTGCATTTTGGCTTCGGCTTGTCCTCCTCTGTAGACCTCTCTTTAGTCTTTGGCTTGTTCTTGTCTGCGTCCAAGTATTTGATCTTCACCTCGCCCTTTGGCATCGCAGCAGTGGCCCTCTTTTCGGAAAGAGCAACTTGTTCGATCTCAGCCAAAAGGTGCGTGGCAAACTGGCTGACTGTGGTGTCGGTCGGCCTCGTATCCACACCAAGGGAATTTCGGGCCAGGCTGACCCTGAATTGTAGTTCTTTGTTGGACTCCAGGACTCGGCGTGTTAACTTGTTCAGACCTTTCAACAACAGTGCCGGGTCTGGGGTCACTGCACCGATCTCCTGGGACCGCAGCTTCCAACGTAGCCACCGACGTATTGCAGCAGGAGCCTCGCCCACCGTGGTGACCTCTGTTGGCTCCTCCAAACTTCTCAGCAATGTCTGCTTCTCCAAGACACCACCTGGGCAATACGTCAACAGCAGTTGCGTCAAAATCCCAAAAACGCTCAGCCGTCGAGCTGAAACCAACTCCTCCTTGACCACCTCCGGCACAGATTGAAGCAGCATCGATGCCGTTCTTCTTTCCAACCTGGACCATTTTTCCAAGGTGACCTCTGGGGGCGGTTGAACTTCATGTTGAACTCGATCTAGTGGGGGCATCATCATGTGCTTCTGGTACCACTGCTCTGCAGACTTCACCATCAGCGACCACCACACTTCTGAAGTTGCTGACAAATCAGCTATGATCGGCTCCACAGTCAGAAGCCAATCTCCCAACTGGAGGGGACCCTGGCTTGGTGACCAGGGGGTCAACACCGGCAGGTCAGGAGTGCCGGACCTCACAATCTCAACTCCTCGAACCATGCCAGTCTCATCCTTTGTCTCGTTGACCTTCTTGTGTAGGTCCTTCATAGTTTCCATCATAATCACCATGAACTCCAAAGATTTCTCAGTGAACTGCGCATTCCCTCCACCAGGTGCACCTCGGCTTCCTTCTTCTTGGGGACGCTGTGATGCTTCCACCTTTGGGGGTCTGGCAGCCTCCTTGGGGGTTTTGAACTCTGCAGCCTCAGGTAGGAATGGGGGTCTGGCAGCCTCCTTTGATGGGGGTCTGTCGGCCTCCTTTGATGGAGGTCTGTCAGCCTCCTTTGATGGGGGTCTGTCAGCCTCCTTTGATGGGGGTCTGTCAGCCTCCTTTCGCCGCTTCAACCAATCCACATCCATGTCGAAACCTGGGCTGGTCTGATCCGGCTGTTCCTCAGGAGTCGCAAACCTAGGTTCATCCTCAGTCTGCATCTTGCTAGCACTTTCAAACCTGGCTCTCAACTGACGGTTCTCTTCTACCAACAGTTCAATCTGCCTTCTACATTCGTCTTTCTCCTCTCGGTCTCTCACAGCTTGCATTCTCAGAAACTCCATGTCTCTTTCATGTTGACTCACTGAAGCTCTGGCTGCATCTCCATCCAAAAATGAAGGACGTGAAAAACCAATTGGATTGAAAAACGACTGTTGGGGCCCATACATCCATGCGGCTTGTCCCTGCAGTGCAGCAAAGTTTCTCAGCTGCTCCTCGGTGAACAACGGGGGTGCCATGGATTGCCCTTGCACTTGGTTTGCATCATCTCCTGCTTGTTGTTCAGGGGGAGTTGCAATCTCCCTCATCAAAGGTCCACCATTGAAGTTGCCTTCACCCTTGTCGGCGGGCGTATTCTTCTCAAGGGAGTTCACCACCTCTTGACGTAGAGAAAGGGCAGGAGGATCAGGAGGAGGTTGTGTAGGCGGCAACAACGCTTTGGCACCTGAACCCTGATTGGAATTCCTTGCAGGGGTACCTCTTTGAGGTTCATCTCTCTTACCCTCTTTCGGTGGAGACGTTTCCCCTTCTACAACATCCTCAGGTTTTTCTTCAGGTCCGTTTTGTATAGGCATCTCACCCCTACTCTCAGCCTCTGCTTTCATTCTTTCATCAGCTAGTCTTATCTCCTTTTGACCCTGCTCCATCTCTTCTTTGGTGGCCCTTCTCCTATGGAACTCACTCATCTGCCCAGTGAACCGCTTGGGCTCATAACCTGGAAATGTCCAGGTCCCAAATTCCAGGTTCTCCGCACCTCGTCCACGTTGCAAGCAGCCGCCTTCTCTGTTTTCACGGCAGCAGCTCGAGTGTTTGAGCTTCAAAAGGGCAGCTACGTCGACTGCAGTTGGTAAAAGGGTTCAGTGACATGTCAATTGGTGCAACATGTCTGAATTAAATGTACAAATCTACCAAAGTATGAAAAACAGGGTATGCCGTTCTGCAGTTTTGATCCATGAAAAAATCCGGTCAAAGCGGCCTCTACGGATTTGAGACGCTCTGGCAACTCTAGGATCATGGCCTGGGAGCATCGGCATCGTACCAGGGGTCATCGTCCCACAGAGTCTGAAGATTCGGGAAAAGCTGAATAAAAACAAACGGCGATCGTTGATGATCAATGCCTTTTTTTTGGCTGCTGAGACTTTCTATCCCTATTGAAATGATGAATAGGAAATCATATAAGGATCTTTGAGGGGTATACCATGGTATACCGTATACCCCAAGGTCCACAGCCGTATATTAAAACCTCCCCAGAGTCTGAAACCTTGGTTTCATACTGCATCTATATCATCTATTCATTTTGATTCACAACTTAGAAGTCAAAGAAATTTTATATGACAGGATGGTGCCACCATTTCCTTCCCATATTGCCAGGAATGTGAAGTAGTTTTCATGGCAAGCGCTTGTCCCATTGACCCCGTTGAGGCCCCAGAAATGAACCAATCACTGGGATGAACATCCAAGTCGAAAGCGGAGACATTTGGGCCATGGGCGAAAGCGTTGCTGCAGAGCTTTCAACAGGAACTTTTTTTCTTTCCAAAATTACACTTACTAACCTCTATACAAATCTATTCTATGGCATTTCAAATGTTTTGCCAGCCATTGTATAAGCTTGGACTTGTAACCCGGGTTGTAACTCCTCTATGGCTACGGGCACCATTACGGAGGTCATATATAATCATCCTGAAGTAGATTGAATCGGTGGTCTTCAAACATAGTCCCATCATGTCCCCTCTTAATTAGTGTGTTCTCGATTGCCAGGATGTGTACACAAAAAAAATACGCGACAATTTGAAAGTATTTCCCAAACATTCCCACACCAGATTTGTATAATGCCATTTGGTGGTGCTAGCTATACTGTATCTATTGGGAGATCTCTAGTCACAAAATTGCAAAACCAGGGCACCACAGCCGCTTCGAAAGTGACTTTGCCTGCGTCTTCGTCAAAAAGACCTTGGCAAGAAACCATGGGTACCTTAGTGGGTAAAGTAGCAGTTTGCAATGGAAAATAGAGAATTTAGTTCGTTGATTCACCTATTGAGGTGGTGATGTTCAGTAGGTATGTTAGTTCACCAGAGGGTATGTCTGGCTATGTCTGATGGGGAGATCTCAGGGGACTGAACCAATTTACAAGGGAACTCTCAGTGTGTTGGAGCCAACACACAGAACACTGACGAAAAAAAAACTAGCCATGCTCAGCAACTGACACAGAACTTGGAACCCTGCCACTGACAACCGGATTCCATGGTTCGACAAAAACTACCCAGAAATCTCCGGACAACGGCGGCAGATGCCCATCAAAAGTAGCAGAGGCCTTCCATTTATCTCTACAATTTCACCCATGAAAATCCATTCCCTGCCCAGGTCAACCCAGTCCTCTGAGCAATGAACTTTGGGTCCGGAATTGTTTGGGCCGTTTTTTTTTCCGTTAACCCAGTCCTCTGAATAATGAACTTTGGGTCCGGAATTGTTTGGGCCGTTTTTTTTCCGCTTTGTTTTGTTTATTTCCTGTTCTGTCCATTGTCCTTGCTATTTGCAGCATTTTGGAGCTGGAAGGTGCCAGCGCAACGGTATTTGCAGCAGTTTTGAGTTTGAACCTCTAATTGTCCATCGAACTTGCAACATTTTGGTGCTCTTTGAAGCATTTTGGAGCTGGAAGCTGCCAGGTCAACGGTATTTGCGGCATTGTTGAGTTCGAACCTCTCATTTTCCATGGAATTTGCAACGTTTTGGTGCTCAAACTGTTCATGGAACAGGGTAGTTTGCAACTAGGGTTCATTTAGGGTTGGTTTTAGGATGTTTTGGGGTTAGTTTAGGGCTTCTGTCAGGGTTGGGTTCAGGTTTTTTTAAGCGTTGGTTTTAGAGTTAGGGTTTGTTGAGGATCTATTTAGAGTTGGTTTTATGATTTATTTAGGTTTTGTTTCAAATCTATTTAGGGTTAGTTTAGGGTTCATTTAGGGTTCGTTTTAGGGTTTACTTAGGCTTGGTTTAAGATCTATTTAGGGTTGGTTTAGGATTAGGGTTGGTTTTAGGGTGTATTTAGGCTAGGGTAAGATCTATTTAGGGTTGGTTTAGGATCCATTTAAAATTGGTTTAGGGTTTATTTGGGGTTTGGTTTAGGGTTTTATGTAGGCGTGTTTTAAGATCTACGAGTATGTAGGGTTGGTTTCAGCTCCGTTTAGGCTTGGTCTTGGGGTTTATTTAGGCTTGGTTCAGGATCTATCTAGAGTTGGTTTAGGACCTATTTAGGGTTGGTTTAGGCCTGGTTTAAGATCTATGTAAGGTTGGTGTAAGGCTCGTTTAGGTTTGGTTTAACATCTATTTAGGGCTGGTTTAGGATCTATTCAGGCTGGTTTTAGGTTTATTTAGGATTTGTTTCAGATTTATTTGGGGAATGTTAGGGTTTACTTAGAGTTGCGTTAGTGTTTTTTGTTTGTTCTGGTTTTTATTTAGGGTTGATTTAGGGCTGACTTAGTGTTTATGTTTACATATTATTATTATCATTATTATTATCATTATATCATGCTTCTTAGGGGTTATCTACAGTATGAGAAACAAAAAACTGCAGGGAAAAGCAGAGAAGCAAGTAAGCAGAAAAGCAAAAAAAACAGGGAAAAGCGGAAAGCAGAGAAGCTGGAGAAGCAGCAGAAAAGCAGGGAAAAGAAGAAAAGCGGAGAAGCAGAGAGCCAAAAAAACATAAAATGTTAAAGCAAAAAAGCAGAGAATTAGAGAAACAGAAAAGCAGGAAAGGAGGAAAACGCAGAGAAGCAGGCCAGCAGGGAAAAGCAGAGAAGCAAAGAACCAGGGAAAAGCAGAAAAACTGAAAAGCAGAGAAATTTGGAACCAGAAATCAAAACAAAAACAAAACGGCAAAAACAAATCACCAAGAAAATAACCCTCCATATTGAACACCCCTGAAAGTCGTCATGGAAAGTGGTGGATCAAAAACCTTACCCTCCAGGCGTTCTCACCTGATAGAAATCCCCCATGAAATGCATATGATGTTCCTAATGTTCCTATAGTTTCCCATTAAAAGTGCGAACAACCCCACTTCCGAATCGCATAGACCATCATCTCTTGGAAATGGTACTTGGATGTGCATCCAGTTTGCTAAGTTAGTAATGACCAGATTATACCACTTACGATGCCGGGGATGCACCCCCATCATAAGATATCCCCATAAGAAATCTGCATGACGTTTGGCTTATAATCTATACATTTTTTCCCCGGTTTAACCCACATTTAAGTTTCAGATATCTTCGGTTAGCTATCTCCTGATGCAATATCCCCAATTCCCACGTAATTGCTCACTATTGCTGGTTCAATCCCATTTAAATCCTGTGAAATTTCATGAAAAAAACCATTTTCTCCCAGGGTTCCTTGGAAATATTCCAGTAAATCCCCATTTTTCCTATCTACTCAATGGGATTTCCATGTGGCTGCCATGCGCCACTTGCAGCTCAGGGCCCGGCTTCGCTGCAATTTCTGCAGCCGCGCGGCCACTTGTGCCGTAGCATCGCGATGGCTCCTCGACCGAATACATGGAGAAACTGCTGAAAATCAGAATAAAATAATGCAATGTTCAACTGGCGATGCAATGCAATGCAACCTATGTATTGTGTACATACATATATTTTTTGATATACATATGTACATGTACACATATAAATACAGATGTGTATGTATATATATATACATATGTGTGTGTAAATATGCAAGTACCCCATATATATATATACATGCGTATGTGCGTATACGTACATGTATGTACATATGTATATTTAGGTATACTATAATGCATGTATGTATGGATGGATGTGTGCGTGTGTGCATGTGTGCATATATGAGTGTGTGCATGTGTGCGTGTGTGTGTGTGTGCGTGTGTGTGCATGTGTGCATGTGTCCATGTGTGCATGTGTGCATGTGTGCATGTATGCATGCATGCATGCATGCATGCATGTATGTGCATGTATGTGCATGTATGTGCATGTATGTGCATGTATGTGCATGTATGTGCATGTATGTGCATGTATGTGCATGTATGTGCATGTATGTGCATGTATGTGCATGTATGTGCATGTATGTGCATGTATGTGCATGTATGTGCATGTATGTGCATGTATGTGCATGTATGTGCATGTATGTGCATGTATGTGCATGTATGTGCATGTATGTGCATGTATTTGCATGTATGTGCATGTATGTGCATGTATGTGCATGTATGTGCATGTATGTGCATGTATGTGCATGTATGTGCATGTATGTGCATGTATGTGCATGTATGTGCATGTATGTGCATGTATGTGCATGTATGTGCATGTATGTGCATGTATGTGCATGTATGTGCATGTATGTGCATGTATGTGCATGTATGCATGTATGTGCATGTATGTGCATGTATGTGCATGTATGTGCATGTATGTGCATGTATGTGCATGTATGTGCATGTATGTGCATGTATGTGCATGTATGTGCATGCATGTGTATGCATGTGTATGCATGTATGCATGTATGCATGTATGCACATGCATGCATGCATGCATGTATGCATGTATGTATGCATGTATGTATGAGCATGTATGCATGCATGTATGAGCATGTATGAGCATGTATGAGCATGTATGAGCATGTATGAGCATGTATGAGCATGTATGAGCATGTATGAGCATGTATGTGCATGCATGAGCATGTATGAGCATGTATGTGCATGTATGTGCATGTATGTCCATGTATGTGCATGTATGTCCATGTATGTGCATGTATGTGCATGTATGTGCATGTATGTGCATGTATGTGCATGTATGTGCATGTATGTGCATGTATGTGCATGTATTTGCATGTATGTGCATGTATGTGCATGTATTTGCATGTATGTGCATGTATGTGCATGTATGTGCATGTATGTGCATGTATGTGCATGTATGTGTATGTATGTGCATGTATGTGCATGTATGTGCATGTATGTGCATGTATGTGCATGTATGTGCATGTATGTGCATGTATGTGCATGTATGTGCATGTATGTGCATGTATGTGCATGTATGTGCATGTATGTGCATGTATGTGCATGTATGTGCATGTATGTGCATGTATGTGCATGTATGTGCATGTATGTGCATGTATGTGCATGTATGTTGCATGTATGTGCATGTATGTGCATGTATGTGCATGTATGTGCATGTATGTGCATGTATGTGCATGTATGTGCATGTATGTGCATGTATGTGCATGTATGTGCATGTATGTGCATGTATGTGCATGTATGTGCATGTATGTGCATGTATGTCTATGTAGGTCTAATGTGTATGTCTATATGTATGTGTATGATGCATGTCTATGTGTATGTATGTGTGTATGTGTATGATGTATGTGTATGATGCATGTTTATGATGTATGATGTATGTGTATGTGTATGCATGCATGCATGCATGCATGCATGTATATAAATGTTGTGTGTATGCATATGTATCTGTGTATGTACATGTGTATGCATATGTATGTATATGTATGTATATGTATGTATATGTATTTATATGTACTGTACTCTACTCTACTCTACTCTACTCTACTCTACTCTACTGTACTGTACTGTACTGTATGTATGTGTGTGTATGTGTATGTGGATGTCTATGTGCATGTGTGTATACGTATATACATAAGTAGGGATATATTGGAATATAAAGAGGTGGTATTATGCGATATATATATATATATTATATTATGGATATTGTGTGAGGCAACGGGATAATATGTAAATGGTATATTATGGGAAGCCAACCATTTTGAGGGGATATGATAGGGATATGATGGGGAAACTAACCAACAGATTTAGAGGTTTTAAGTCAAGAATCATGGGTCGGTATATAATTGGGATATACTGGGGATGTAATGCGGATATCATGCGATGTATAATCAGTATGGACTTGATTGAAAATTGTGGAGAAAAAAGTGGCTCATCATCCTCATACATATTCCCTATGTTGGAACGCGAAAATGTGGAGATATATACCATGCGTAGATACACCCACACAAAATACACGGTCTTGGTCTTGGTCTTGGGTCAAATGGATATGTCTACCCACTGATACACACACATTATTGGATAATTACTGGCTATTGTGTGTGTGTAACACGCATAGACGATGATTGTAGATAATTGTAGGTGTTGGTCCTTTCATCTGAATAGTATCTGCACTTTCACATCCCGCAAAATCCACCATGTCATACTGGGGGGTGCAGTTGAGGTGACAACCATGCTGAACTAAACCCCCATAAGTTGGGATAAACCCCTAAAACTATCACCATGAATATTTATATATGAATATAAACATAAGTATGGATATTATATATAAATATTATATTTAATAATATTTATATATTATGTTATATTCACTTATACCTGGAACTGCACTTCCAAGTAGTCTCTTCATGTATATAGTGGAACTCATGGGTTGGGCCAGGCCCCTTTTCCAATCTCCCACCTTCAGGATTTTCTGTGATATTCATTCAAACATCATTGTCCGCAAGATGTTTAACAAAGTATGAATATTGAAGTTCAAGGTGTCAATTTTAAAAAAAAGAATTGTAAGAATGATAACAACAATAATAAAGATACCCCACACAAAATCAACACCAGCCCAGAGAGACTCCCATGACGAGCTCACGAGCTCCTCAATTGCTTTACCAACCAAGTAGAAAAAGTCGACAGACACTCCTGCAATCCAGCAACCAAAATCCAGGGGCTTCGGATTGGCGAATCTTAACCACAAACGCTCGGCCACGTCGAGCAGTCTACAACCGAAAAACAACTTCAGGCGACTCTTTTCATCCTTGGTTGACTTGGTCAAGCCGCATTTTAGCAGCTCTAACCCTCAGTGTGAGACCTGAAAGTGGGGAATCTTTGCCCAATCTCAGCAGCCAAACCAACTCTTGCCACGCGGTGGCAGTACTAGAAGGTCTCATTTGAAAAAGGACAACAGTTCAAGTGAGGATAGGTCATGCCACCCATGCTACATATCTGAGAAGATGAAAGATATGCGGATTTGCCAGCTATCTCAATGTGAACAGCACTGTAGTCTTGGTTTTGTACCCACACCCATCCAATCTATCCACGTGAATGTTGCCTTAACCAGGCGTGCCAGTCGCCTTTCATGGCCAATTTATCCCTGGCATAGTAATTATGAGATTTCATACTCCGAGGGGAGCTAAGTTTCTTTGCTTCAAAGGCTTCAGCTCGAGCTCTCGTCAACAGCTCTTTGATTTCTCCATTCTCAGCATCAATCAGTGCCTGTTCTTTCAATCTCGCTTCCGTGATTTCTTCGTGGGTGCCTCAGAGATGTCACAAGGTGATAGCGATGGTTTTTACATGTTTTTACTACCCATTTTCACCATTTATAAAGTTTCAGATGGTTTAGTGTTGGGTTTATAATGTTTACGATGTTGGCTATGTACCCCATATCAATCAAGCCATTGATATCCATTATTTTCATTTATTTTCCATTAATTGTACCTGCTGGTTGTAAGTTTTAAACCTTACATTGAATCATGTTCGTTTGCCACTCTGTTACCAAATAATTGCAAAGCCAAGGGGCGAATGATGTGGATTTCCCTCATCGTCATGTGGTTTGGGAATTTCATCTTGGGGACGTGCAAGACAGTCACTCTGCAATCAGCGTTGTTGCTGGCAGTTGTTTCAACCTCTGCTGAGATCTGTGGTTCGAAAGCCCTCGATACTTCAGTTTTGAATGAGAATTGCAGAATACGATCAATGGAATACAGCCAATGATGCGATTATATCGATTATATTACATCATTAAAAGATATTAATTAAAAGGATAGGTTTCGAGGAAAAAAACACTAGACACTACTAGACACCCACAAACTGTTGCCATTCCACTACTGTATGGGGGTGTCCTGTAGGAGTTCTCTTCAATCCGTTCTGTGATACCACCATTTCTGAGGACCTCGTCCAAAATCGGTGGTGAAGGGCAAGAAATCCGAATCGTTGGGATGATTTTACTGCAGGCCATGTTTCTTGGTTCCCATTGAGGCAAGGGGCCACCCCAGATTAACAAACTCCTCGGCTGTAAAATTGTGTGCTTAACTCCTACTCCTAGTGTCCCATTTGTCGCAAATTTTGCTTCTTTATCTCACAGAAAATTTGCGTGTGGGCATGTGTGCATGTGTGCATGCTTTAAACAATGTTTCTTGTCAAAATCCGAGGTTAAAATATCCTGTGTTTTGTCTCAACTTTTGTTCGGTTTCGCTCCACAAGCCTATTCCTCATATTTCTGATTTTTGCTCGGAAATCTCCCTATTGTGTTTGTCAGAAACTTAGCACGGTCAAAACGCAGAACGCAAAGCGCGTGTTCCGGAACGCGCGTTCCGAACGCAGGGGGGGTTTACAGTGGTTTTTGGTTTCAGAAGCCAGAAGCCTCCCAATCCTTTTTGCTGCTCCTTGCAAAAAGGATCCGCTGTGTCACATAGCGTTTTTTAACAGTTTTTCAAAGTCTTCTTGGACCTCTGTTAATAGCACTACGATAAAATTTGTGAGAGGTCAGAACCTTTTTCTTTCAGAGAAAAAAGGATCCAGGAAGGATTTCAGCCAAAAAAGAATCCGGAGTTGGGAAGCTCAACTTTTTCATACACCATTTTGAGCCCTAAGAGCTCTCAAAGTCATTTTTTATTTGGGGGGAAAAAGGTTTCAGTGTCCAGGCCAAGGAAATACATTAACTTTGGATTATCGGAAAAAGGATTTTAAAAGGATCCACTCAGAACGCGCTTTCCGGAACGCCAAACGGTACCGAAGGAACATGCTAAGGTCAGAAAATAGGGTACCCAAACTACAATGGATTATCATCATGTTCGTTGGTTCAATTGGTCACAAATGGTGGCGATATCCCGTTTCCGGACGAATCCAATTCTATCTGCATGATGGTTGGTCTTATTCTCATGATCAAGAAAATTAAGTGATTCAAGCAACAAACGAAAATTCAATCACGACATAGAGGTGTCCTAAGTGAGGGGCACACCCCTGGCATCATCCAGCTGTCATGGATGAGTTCCCAAGCTCAGCCAGGGAACCAGTTCCACAAGTGACGCCAAGGTCGGATCCGCCTGCCATATCCTGAGCCAACTTTAAGATAGGTTTGGTAGCTGCAAAACTCATAGGAAAAGCCACCTAAATCCACGGTTTTCTCGATGAAAATGGTCGAAACATGTCGAAACTGAAAGGTATACACCCTGATTTATTGAGGTTTATTGAAATTGAAATCTCACTGTTCAAAAGTTGTCATAAGCCGGGGGGGTACTGCTAAGTATGTTCCAGGCCACGGAGTTAGTCAAGTCCTTATGACTGGGCATAGTTCATGGGTAATAAACCTGCAAAAACGAACCAGCCAACTAATTCGCCGATCTAAGTATGTAATCCCTTCCCCCCAAGAGGGAATACCCCCCAGACGAAAGCCTGCTAACATGTACTGGATCTGTTCATGACT